GATAGAGTATTGGTCGATCTTGGAACGTAGTAGGTTAAAATAGTATGAGTACTTTTCGCTATCGTCGGCGTTGTGACGTGAGGCGTCCATGGCGGAGGTCCATTTGTATAGGAGCTCATTGGGGTGACGGTGCAGGAACCTGGTAACCTAGCTATCTCCAACGTACTGTTGGGCTATTTCTGATGCAAAGTTTTGCACTATTTGCCTTGTAGGTGGTAGCCCTTGCTCTGTAAGCTCATTTATATAACTAACAAGCTCATACTCTTGTTGTGGGTTGAGCTTTTGACGTGTGGAGTTGCCTTCTTCACACGACGCGCATACGCGTAGGTGCCGCCGCGACAGCGTAGATCGCGACACTAAGCTTTGGTCAGCAATTTTGGTATAAGAAAGTTCACCAGCTGCATCTGCTCTGTCACAGGCTTCAAGCGCAGCTTCTAAATCCATGCCGTTGTGAAGTTATGGTGTTGAGGAAATTGGCACGTTATGGAGTTCGCGTGCACGATGTGAATCCGTGCACGATGTGCACGGTCCCTGTATGGCCGGCTCGGTGATGGTTTACGTTACCGGAGTTTGGCTCCGCAATTGCACGCTGCGAACGAACCTTTCGCAGTGAACCCTCTGTCTGAACGCAAAGTATCTTCGAAACTGATATTAGAACGCTGATTGAAAAGACGCGGCTGATCCCTTCGCATGACCGTTTACCTTGTAGTAGCAGCTGCTCGGATCTTGCCCGCAAACGAGGCGGCTTCCCCGCCGTCGCCATACTATGCAATCACTAGAGGAGTTCGGGTCATTTCCTACTAATGCATGATATTCGTGAAGAGCTTTCAACACAGCTGCTATCATCGTTTATTCCTTTCCTTCTCCTAATCTCCTCTACATGAGCTGCACGCCAATTGGGAATCCGTGGAAAATGCCCCGGTCATCTGCATTGTACCTGCATCGATGCAACGGATGGGACGAACACATCTTTCAATTTGCCTCACTCTTCTCTGTCATAGTTGAGTGTCTGAGACCTAAAATTCTAAGATTCGTTTGCGAATAGCAGGTATGACACTTGTCGTGTAGTTCATTCGTCAGCTACCAGCAACCCAACTTACTTGCAAGACAAATTGCAGAGATGGGAATTGAGCTACGCTGCAAGTCCTACAACTCGTTAACGGTACCGGAATGCGGATGGGTTCTGAGATTTCGATATCCCATCCGAAAGTCGACCGTCTCCTTGGCTGTAAATGGCCTTCGGCCCCAGAAACCCCACCAGCATAAAAACCTCAGCCATAAGAGTTTGAAGTCAAACCAAAAATGTTTTCTGTCGCTTCCATGACCGGCGTCGACACAGGTGCGTTGGTGTTCAAAGAGACAATCGCCCCAGCTTGCCTGAGCGTCTACATCAGAACGCCTTCATCATTTCTTGTCATCGTTTCACCTACCGGGCTCACGAAGCCGCATATTTTGTGAATATGTTCAACCCGAATTAATCCTTGTGGCCGGTAGGAAGACCACAGGGCCCGCCTATAGGCTATCAGTGGTGCGCAATAAATAGTCTAGAAAAGCGGCTGTTTGATGGATCTCCTTGAAGCGGATCTCCAACAGACAGTAAGTGTGTTGCTAGCTGATAAGAAGTTTCTCTGACCCAAAGACTGAAGAAGGTATGCACAAGTGCAGTCCAGTAACAGAGAGTATTAATAGGAGGAAGCTTTGGCTTATGCGGGGATTTTCTTCTTTGCCCCCACGAATATCATGGGTTTGAACTTCCTAACTTTGACGTTGTCTGAGCGATCGAAAACTAGGTCAGCGACTGTCAGCCAGACAAGAACGAATCAGCTGTAGCGACGGTATCGTATCGACCATCAGGAGCAGTTTCGCGGGACAGAAGCGCAGGAAGCCAGAGTTAAAGACGCGCAGGAGGCGAAGCGTGCCTTCCCCATTGATTTGATTAGCGAGACGCTAGGTGATGTCAGATCAAGCTCCAGATCAGGGTAATGAAGACAGTCAATGAAGCACAACACTATGACCCTGTTCACATAAATGACAGCCACTCAGTTGTGCTACATTAGGGTACTTCCATAGTCAGTGCAACAAGACTCACTGCAAACGCCCACTTAGCCTGCTCACTACATGACGCTATACTCCAGGCTAAACACCATGGCAAGGGCAGAGACCCGTGGTCCCAATCGCGCAGGAATGCAGATTCACGGATCGGTCACCACGCAAGAGTATATTAGGTCGAGCAATGCCTTATGAATACTCAAAGCTGTATGCATCATCTCTCCAACGATATGACTTTCGATGTGTTCACTAAAATCTTTCGCATGGAACTTTTGCGCCCATTCGACGCAGAAGCCTCAACTACGACACGAGTGATCAATATCGAAATGGAAGAGTTGGATCATGATGGTAGACGCAGCGTAGAGCGAAGAAAAAGACAACGCACTATCAGGCCTGTTGCAGTACGTTCGCCTCTTCCAAACTAGACATCTCCTAACACAAGCGGCCAGTTTCGAACAGGCGCAGTCTGTCTTCGTGAATCCAACAGTACAACACCTTGTTCATTTGGTGGCTCGGCTGGCTTCTACAGATTGTCGATCTGAGTGCACTGAAAGCTCTCATGAAGTCGCCTTCTTGGTCGAGCGCATTCGGGACCATCCTCGCCTCCATCGAAACACCGCCCGTCTCGCTGGTCTTGTTAGAATGTACCTCATATCCAAGTTCTCTCCGGTCATTTCTTTTACATACGTTACGCAGGATGTGCATATCGAAAGCTTGGCAGTTGTACAGTAGATTTGATTGCTGTCAAATTTCTACATTGTTACACACAACGGTCATGTCGTCCCTGGTTGACGTTGTACATTCCAATCATCGTCATCTGTTTGTACCTGACTGCCGGCACCCGTAGATTCAGACAATGCCGCACGACCAGTCAACACTCTTCAGCGGCTTCGTGCATGGGCACGTTCGCGCACAACCCCGCTGTCAAAGCTGCTGGCAGCCCTCACACCTGCCACGCGGCTTATTCGTGCTCGTTAGCGATAGAGCTACCAAGAGGTCATATTAGTTGACAAGCAAGAATTGTAGCGCTAGGGCATCGGTATGCCCCAAAACAACTCCAGGTGATAAGTTTGCAATCGAGAGTACAATATTTAGCTACATATGACTGTAGCAGGCCCCGATATCAGAGCTGACACGGCATATCGATCGACAGCCCACTACATTCAACCCCCTTTGTACCCTTACCAGGCAAATAGCATTCTTCGGTAGTTTCTCGGCCACACACTGAACCTCTCCACTTCGAATGTCAATGCTCTCTGTATCTACCACGACTCCAAAATGCTTGCCAGAGGTCTACTATCTGTAACAGCTCTTTGTACCCTGGTCTTTGCGTCCCCGCTTCCTCTTCACAACACCAATATGCAAAGACTGCCAGATCATCCCGCCATCATCGATCATAAAGACGTTCCAGTCACTGTAATGGTTCAGAAACACAAATACGTCCCAGAGATCGCTGAACCAATTCTCCAACTATGCGGTCGAGCTCTGGGCTATCAAGCTATAGAGAGAGATAGTAAGTGCGCCTTTTTGCAATCAGTACACAATATCTAAGTCCAACGACAGTAGCAGCTGAATATACACGAATGAATTGAGGTCACTGAGCACTGGAGAAAATGTGTGAAACGTATCAAATATTCACAAGCTTTGGCTTTCCTCGTGTCGTTGCTGTTTGGAGTCGTTTCCCCTTCATATCCTGTACGAAGATACCTAGCCTGATCCAGAGCGTCAATAGTCATTACCGTCAACAACACATCACGCGCTGAACCAGGCATCTCATATCACTTAGTGTGTAACCCCTAGTGAATACCGCCTGGGTATGGCTTCATCTGGTCGAACATACGAAAGCAGTCTCCGACATAACCGAGCTTCGGCTCTGTCAGCTCGGCCTTGAGGTATGCCTCTAGGAAGCAGGCGTTGATGTGGAAGCCGAACGGCCCCAGAGTGTCGCGAAGGCCGTTGACGTTGTCGATGGTAATCTTCTCGTCCTGACGTGCGAGGTCGGCGATCCACGGAAGGTCAGAGAAGTCGAACATACCGGCGTTCTGGAGGTCCCACTCGGTTACGCGACCAGCGAGGTTCTTCCAGGTCGCGGGCCAGTGGATATCGTTCTCACGGCGGAAGTCAGAGCGGCCGAAAAAGTAGATCGTGGAGTAGTTGGGGTGATCAAGGAGTGGTGGGGTACCAGAGAGGTTGATTGAGAAGCGGACGCGAGGATCAAGAATGCCCAGCACTGTCGCAGTCGTGCCACCGATACCGTGACCGACGATGGAGTATGACTGGGTGTCGAAGGCGGAGTTGAACCTGAGTGAATGGAACTGGCGCTGCAGGAGTTTGACGTCATCAAGCTTTTTCAGCACAACGTTGATATCGTGAATACGTGAGTCAACTGTCTGAGTCACCGTCGCGTTCCACTTCTTGAGATCATGGAAGGGATCAAGAGCTGCCGAAGATGAGGTCTCAGGGTGGTCGAGAATGGCAACAGCCATGCCATTAGCAGCCATGAAGCGGGCGAGTGTGCTGTACAAGAAACGGCTAGTGCCGACCTGGGGTTCCAAAAACACGAGCGGGATCTTGGAGGCGTCAATGGTCTTGCTGCTGCCGTCGCAGGTCTTGTACTTCATCTTGTCAAAGACACTGGTGCTGACATTGCCGAAGAACTGCTTATCTGAGGTACGCGCAACACCAGCTGGCATGTATAGCCTATCTCTCTCATAGCTGCAATCTGACTTCTTGACTGGCAGGAAGAGGCTCACTTCAGGGCCGCCAGTGATTGGGAAATTGGCCATAGCGGACTTGTAAGCGTGCGCAGCGTTGGGCCCAGGGATAGAGATAGCGTGGATGGGCTCAAAGAGCATGGCCAGTGTGATACAAGCAGCGAGGATAGCAGTAAGTAGGCCCATGACTGCGACTTGCGCGACGTAGCGTCGAAGGCACTGGAAGTTGAGACAAGCCGTAGTGCGAGCGGGTGGTCGAGGAGAAGTCGACCGCTTCGTTGCTGGCTATCGAGAGTTTTATGGTAAGCGAGTGTGCTCAGCTAAGTGCTAGTACATCGTGGAGTACCTGGAAGGTGAGGTAGTGCTTGGCACGTGCGAGCTGGAGTGAAAGCGTCTTCATGTCGAAACGCGCTCACCGTGGCCCCTCGCTGCAGATAAGGGTGTGGAAATACTCACAACCAAAACCGTAACTTAGAACGGCTTTATCACGGGGTGCTCCCTTTCACACGCGGGTGTAGCATGATGGACGGTGTCGCAGAAGAATACCCATTTTGACATATAACAGGTCACGTCTGCGATGTCGTTCACGAAAGGCAAGGCATGACGCCCATGAGACTTGGCAGCCTCAATATCCTCTAGTATCTATCGAATGTTCTCTGAAGCTTAGTTCCCCTGATATCGACGTTGCGGGCTTTCTTCAAAGCTTTTGCTGGAGCTACTCAGTACCATTGTGAAGGCTTTGCAGAACTAGACGCAGGGCATCCGCAGACTTGCGATACTTTTAGAACAGTAAAATACAATCAGATTAATAATGTGCACTCCCGGAGTCTAAGGCAAGACTAAGGCTGATGTTTGAGTCCATCTCTTGGTGGCTCCGAGTCGCTCGCGATTTGCAGTAACGCACGTGGGAAGAACGCTCAAGACCGCCAGTTTTCATTAGTGATCACGATGATGTGCAAAGTCGATAAGAAACAGTGAATACAGCTCGAATGAATGCAAACAAAGACATATGAGCCTTGTGGAAGGTGCAGAAGAGGTGAAGGAAGCCATGACTTGACGCATGGTCTGTGCCCGCGCCTGCGTCACGCGGGCGTTCAGCCTGGCAATCGTCAACACTAACACACCGCGTGAGAGACACGACTGAATCACCACGAACCGGAGCATGCCTATGGTCGAGTGCAGTCAACATCTGAGATAGCTGCTCAATCACTTGCGCATGGCAGGCCGCAGCACAACAATACACCCACTACACGGTTAATAACGGCCGCCCTTCCACGCGAACCCACTCCGCCCTGCATCAGCGAGCTTGCGTCAGCAGACACGGCGCTATCGACATGGAGCTGCAGCGAGCTAGGGCTTCTCTTCTTCTCTGTTCTCCCCCATAGATGGAAAAGCTTGAGTTGCTCGCGGCTTTACTGTCTGCGGTCTACGGGTAGTTCGGCTGTCGACGTGGAAACGATGCAGGATCAGAGCATTATCCGTGCGTTCCGTGATGGCCTCTGCGAAAGCTGCAGGCGTTGATAGATTCAGTCGCAAAGTCTTGTCATCTGGGCTGGAACAGAGAATGACAACAAAACAGACGCTTCGCTTGAAAATCGACTCACGCGCATCTGATCATTGATTTGTGACCATTTTGTTTGGAGGTTGTTGACGAGCAACAGAAGTCTGCCTCGCGATGCACCACCCTACACCCATGCCACATCCATGTGTGCGACGCGCCGAACAATCGGCATACCGTTTCAGTCGACCTGACCCCCTGCTCCGCCACCTCCTTCGTCTCATCATTGGCCTATGATCGAGCATCGTTTCGCAGAACGCCTCGTTCGAACAGGAAGTGAGGGGCCTTTCGTATCAAAGTATCCGCCGTCGTGGAAGTGGTTGGGCGCCCAGGTAAGGCGTGCAGTATATACACGCACCTCTGGTACTACTCCAGCTTAACGGCAGAAACGTTGTTGCCTGGGAGATCCTCGAACGCTTATAACGCTTATCAACCTTCGATAGTCCAGTCTTTGCTCTCACATCACAATCCAATTCAACCTCATTTCACAATCAAACGAACAATGGAACCCGCCGACGCCACAGCCCTCGAACGCCCGCTCCGCCTCGTCACGTGTCTGGCCGCAGCCATCTGTATTCCCTTGAACATCGCCGCAACAGTTCTATCACTTGAGTTCCAGAGCCGTAGATGGGACCCCAGGGTTGCCACGGCATACTGCTTCATCTTCATTCCATTGGCAGTCACATTTGCCTCTGCTACACTCAGCCTGCATTACATGAAGAAGCATGGCAAGACTTCTCGTGCGTGGCACTTTGTAGTCCTCGACCTAGTCGCGGCTACCGGCTACTTCGGGACTATGATCACCTGCTGGGCCCTTGAGATCCGCGAGTATAACGATGGATGGTTTGGGCTGCTCACTGGATATCTCACAGCCCCTATGATTCTGAACATGTGAGTCACAACGTCTGCCGAAGCAATTATGTAGACTAACGCAATCAGGTTCATCCACATGTACTTCGTGCTGAAGCTTGTGCCCTGGAAGAAGACCTTTTCTCTTTTCATCAGCTCGAAGCCCTCCTGTCAGCAGTGCCCCAACTGCCGGGCCACCTTCATTTCTGATGACGCCCCACCTATGACAAAGAAGGGCTACAGCCTCTTACGCGGTGAGGAGTACCTTGATATTGAGGCAGACCCTATCCAGTATCGCGACTCCGAAGACTTCCTTGGCGAGGGCGCCGAGCGTGCTGAGCAGCCTGAACAAGGCACAGCAGCTAAAGATAATAGTAAGATCAAGGACACAGTCTAAGGCTGGCAGTTGGAGGCAGTCATACTATCATCAGAGATGGAGGTGGAGGAGCCCGAAGGTAGTCGATGCAATCGGAGGAAGAACCTGACTCTGGTAGTTGGACGGACAAGGCGTTTACGGACATCGCTGCGAAATGTATAGCATGCATTGAAGACAACGACAAGGACAGGGAATAGAGAAAGAAGCAAACAACGCTCTTCGGAGGTTCTCGGTGGATCCTCAGCTGAAAAAGACCCCCACAACGCGAACTCAAAGGTCCCTCGACCCTTTTCACCAGCACATATTTCGGCCAATCACAACCTCAGACGCCTGCAAGCCTCCACCAGCTCCCCAACCTCTTCCGCAGCATCCGGCTCCTCAGTATTCACCCCCCGAATCAGCTCCTCCAGACCTCTCTGCCACTCCTCCAACCTCGCGAGCTGCCCTGTGCAGCGATCTATCTGGCGCTCAGCAGCCACAAGCATCTCCTTGATAGCATTGCGTTCCTCATACAGGTCTTGCAGAGTCCCTTCCATTTTAAAACCCTCTTGCGCAAGATTTTCATGCACCCACGCAGGCGAACCTGCTTGTTGCTCTGTGATGTCTTTGAGGACCTCCTTACCGAGATCCATGTGAGCTATGTTGGCGGAGAGGTCTTGAAACTGGTTGTGAAGATACTCATGGTCGTCGCCGAGATTGTCAAGCAGGTTCACGACCGCACTGTAGCGGGTGAGGAAACGCGCATGGGCCGCGGAGAGTTGCTCGCCGACGTGCGAGTTTGTGGCGTAGTTGGCGGGGGCGCTGGAGAATCCTTCATTCCGCGTCTGGGTGTTGTTGACAGCTATTTTTGGTTAGCGATTGTGCATATGAGCGTGTTTGTTATGAGACAGTTGACTTACCCTCGATGAAAGAAGAGGTGGTGCTGGGCTGAAAAGCCTCAACGAAGTGGGCAGGCATGGCCATGGTGTTGTTGGAAGACATTGTTGCTATGTGTTGTGAACGGTGTTTTGTGTAGTAAGGTCTATGTGTGTGAAAGTTGTTCTTGTTTGTGATGGGGACCGAGAGTGCACAGGAGGAGTGTTCATATATGAAGAAACCACAACAATCCGGCACGAACACGTTCAGATTCTAGTTCAAAGCACAATTTGAGATCGTAAGATTCTCATTGGATTGTTGTAACACTTGTTCAGGGCACTAATGACGACCAGCGTCACGTCTTTCAATCAGCACACCTATGAGAACTGCCAACCAGGTTTGTGTCATGTAAATTTTGAAGTTATCACAAAAAGGGTCTGACTACCTCAAGAATCCGAACTATTCACCGCCGTCAATCACTGTATCATCGTCCCTGAAGGCCTTCTTGCCCTCACAGTATCCAATGACAGCCCGCTGCCACAGTTCTAAGCCCTTACGCGTGGCTACCTCTCGGTTCCAACTTCTGATCTCTTCCACCAGCTTCCTTCTACCGTGAACATCCAGCTCTGTAAGCCTGTTGACTTCGGTTCGCGTGGAGTAGATAATGGCACCTGATTTAGGCAACCGGCGAAAAGTCTGATGCTCGCGGCGCACAATGATATGTTGCGGTAGAAGAGACGACAAATTACCCGGGAAGAAGTCCTTTGGTTCCTGAATAAAGAAGAGGTGGGCGAGGGGTCTAGCATCAGGGTATGTTTGGATGTAGAGTGTGCTTCTTGTCAGGAGGTCTACGGACGAAGTGAGGGGTAGAACGTCTGGGATGTCTATGGAATGGTTAGATATCAGATTCCGCGTGCGATTTTGGAGTATGGGCCTTACCATCCCACTGGTAGATGTCCTGATCTTGCATGTATGAGAGTGGCTTGCCAATGAAGCTGCGCATGCGCCAGCCAGAGGGAAAGAGCGTCGCGCTGGCTTGACTGGAAGCATGTTAGTTCTTTCCTGCATGCATGTGCTTACAGATTAACTGACAGATAGTACTGCTGCGTGAACTCTCCCTTGACCAAAATGTTGAAGTCTTCCGTCGCCAGCCTCGCGCACACCTCAAGCGGGTGGCAATCAAATGGACGCACGAGCGACCACTCTTCCTTGGTGACCTCATTACGAATATGCTTGCGTCGATTGACAGTCTTAATACTGAAGCTCTCTGGGTACTTCGCTACCAGCAACTTGACGATTTCCTGTAAAAGCTCCTCGCAAGCATTTTCGCCGTCGTGCTTGATCTGGATGCATTCGGCATTCTTCTTTGTGAGGAGGTAGTCGCGGGCTGTGTGGATGTCTTTATATCTCTTGTCGATCGTAAGCCACTCTTTCAGGCCGACCTTCTTCAGACCTACAGACGTGTACTTGGCTGAAGGTCTCCGGTTGAGACCGGGCGGTGTTAGGGTCTGTTGCTTAGCCTCGACCGGAGTGATTGCGAACGGGATACCTGGGAAGTCGGAGCCGTCACCACAGTCATCCTAGGTGATTGTTAGCGCGACTGTCAACATGTTTCATGGGGAATTTCACCTGCACGAAAGCTGGAAGTCGCGAGATGCGCTGCTGCTCGGCGAGGAAGGCGCGAATTTCTGGATCAGGCAACTGCTCTGTGTCTACAACTGCAATGTTCATACACGTAACTCGCGAGATATGCGCAAGATCGCGCGCGAGACTTCTCGGTGGTGCAGGCATGGGAAACGCTGTCACACGCCTTTGGTGGCCGCGCTGTGGGCTGCGATCACGCAGGTAGGCCGGTAGGATGACGAACTTCTCTGGCTCTGGAGCGAGAGCGCCTTTGTAAAAGTAGAGGCGCACTGCGACAGAGCTAAGCCATGCGAAGTAGGCGCAGAACAGAACGGCGAAAGTGAAGAGAATATAGATGGGGACCGGATCAGGATCCTTGTACGGGTGCTCTTCCATCATTGTGGTGTTGCGCATAGTTGCTGGCGGCACAGGTTTTATAGACGGTGGCTGCGAAGGCCCAGAATTTGAGAGACTGAAAGGTCAGTGGAGTGGGGCTGTCGTGAGGTGAATGCGAGCTCGCCGCTTCACTGGGCAGTCGTAAACAACCTGCATTATGATCATTCCATATTCACATAGAACTTGGAAGCATATACACGGAGTGGAAACATGACGGTAAGGCACAGAAGAACAACAGTGCTGTATCGAGAGTGTAGCAATGCTGCGCAGTGTGTTGATTAAAGAGTTGATTGGGAACATGGAAACAAATCTATCCAAAAAGGAAACAGTGGTATCATGCATAAAAAAACGCCGAACATGTCAATGTGAACACCAGAGCCCATGCAGATCCACCTATTGCTCCGGTGACTGCTGCGCCACCAGAGCATCGACTTTCGCATACAGTTCGTTGGGGTTTTGAAAGACATACCAGAGCTCCTTCGGCACGTGCTTGAACGCCTTCTCGAAGCGCTCGGGACTGTTCTTTTTACCTTCGTCCATCTCTGCAACACCAGTGACTTTGCGGATATAGATTGCGCCGATCCACTTGGGGAACTTCTTGTATACTTCGCCGTAGGCCTCAGGATCGGATTGTGTGGAATCACCGATCAGTATGAACTTGCGCTTGGGGAACCACTCGTGGACCTTCTCAATTCGGTCGAGCTTGTAAGCTTCTGTACCCTGGGTCAAGTTGGCAAGGAACCCGGCAAGGTTCATCCAAGAGGCGTCGCGAAGAAGCATGGTTCCGGCAGGGTAATAGGTCTCACGAAACTGGTGGAGAAAGGGGTAAAGGTTGTAGGGTGACGCGGAGAGGTACCAGAAGGGTGGATTGTCAAGCTTCTGGACAATGTGCTTGTAAAGCTCTGGCATGCCATTGATAGGTTCTGGATCCTCTGCAAACGTAGTCTTCAGAATGCCAACAGGTGATGAGGTTAGGGTCTTCTTGATGGTGTCATCAATGTCCGAGAGGACGGCCCAGCCTTTGTTCTTCGCGAAGGTAGTCTTGAGGGGTGTTGCGGTCGCGCCGATCGCTCTTGATGTGACTGTCTCGCCATCCTTGTAATTTGAGCCCGGGATCGCGAGCTCATCTATGCTGATGCCGTCTCGCCCACTAGGACCGAGTCTGACTTTCATGCCCTGGAGGTTGATGTTGACGGCGTGCGCGGGCAGGATAGCGTCCAGGAATGGCTCAAGTCTGAGCGCAATAGTCTTCTTTGCTTCCTCGTCGTCAGCCAGGCCGATCTTCTCGCTGACCCAAGCTACAACTTCAGATAGGTCTTTGCCACTGTGCCTGACAAAGTAGGCAGCAACGAACTCGGCCTTCCATCTACCCAGGCGGTTCTGATAGGCTGTGTTGTCTAGAAGCCAGACATAGTCGGTGTCGTCGTTGGCTTCAGAGTAGAATGGGTTATTGCGCCCAAGGTATGAAGACAGGTTGTCCTTGAAGGAGAACTGAAATCGGTTCGCGAGTTTAGGCATGTCGGCTTCGAATTCGGAGAAGTGTCCAGCGCTGCGAGTGATGCGGTCCTCTTCACTCTCTTGAAAGCGTTGCCTGGCTTGGCCTGCCATGGCTCTTGCTGGTTCATGTGCCATGTTGAGGGGTGCTGATGATGAATTTGAGGTACTGTTTGGCGGCTGAAAGTGACGGGTGCCTGGTGGGAGGCGAGGTCAGAGGGCGGATGTTTTGCACGAGACGACGGTGTGCTGGGAACGCCATTTTATTAGAGGCAATACTTGCCGCAACCTTCTCAGATCGTCACGCCTAGTGGCAGGCACATGCATGACGTCTGGGGCTACAGGCGGACGATCTGCCGAGAAGCGAGATCGATACAGTACCAAAGCAGGCTGTTCAACTTTTGATTGCGTACATCGATCGCATCATTGTGAGTTGCAGAATTGCCTCTGCTTACTGACAGGGGTTGAAAGTCTTTGTCGCATTGTCCCTGCTCTTCTTTGTCAGGACTCAGTCGCACCTGTGCGGCCACGTGCACAAAACCCGAGGCTCATACACGGCCTTGGCCGAAACCTGTTCTGCTTGAGTACATCATGCCTCCTGTTCGCCTGCTTCGACGTCAATACGCCATTGCAGGTACCTGTCAAGCTTGCCGTCACGTTCTGTGAGCCTCCTCTCGTTGTACTGACTCAGCCAAGTCCACATCATTCCTACAAAAGCTGTCCAATGGGAGAGGAACGCTGCACGTGTGTTAAGAGCCCTTCCAATCACAGGCAGTCGAAGCACAGTGTCACTGGGCGAGACGTCTGTCATGTGTCGCCAGTACGAAGTAGTCTCGAGCTCCACTTCTTTGTGGCTAAAAAGTCCCTGCGTCGCATCACGGATGTGCGGGTGCATAAAAGTGTAAGGTGGGGAACCATCTAACATGTTCGAGAAGTCAAAGTTGGGTTCGATCGCTGAAGACCTTTCCTCTTCCTCGTCGCATTCGTCATGGCAGCCTTCAAGTCTGTCAGCCAAGATGCCGGCTCGAGGGACGCGCACTCCTACAACCATAATGAAGGTCCCGTGATAAGACAGCTGCGCAAAAGATGCTGCCGTGGCTGCCGCTCGCCACACGTAGTACGCGGCGGTTGACGTCTCTGGCGATGCTCAATTTCTTGGCTGGAGGCGCAGCAGCTGTGTAGATGTGGACAAGTCCGTGCCAGCCAGCATAAGCATGAGCACCGTTGACGCCGGACGCCTAACCGCTCTCCAAGTTTCACGAAATTAAATCTCGACGCCGTACCACATTCGCGCGCAGCGTCTTGGGCCGTCTCATAATCTCAGTCTAGTACTGTCATAGCAGCGCTGCTTGCTGGTCTTGCTAACTGCCATCGCGGAGCCCCGGGCACCCCACTACCGTAATAACTCCGCAGCCATGGCTCTCAAGAAGCGCCTCGGTTTGGGCAGCTTGATGCGCAGGAGGTCCTGTGAGCCAGCCAGACGTTACTCGTGCGCGACACCGTACTGACTGGGTGCTCGCAGCACAGGATGTCCCAACAGACAGCGGGGCTGACACGCCTGACGCGAATGCCGCACGAGGAGTGGTGAGCCGCGCGCCCCGATGCGCCTCGGGCAACTGAGCTGACACGGAGACAGAGGCTGTTCTGCGAATCTGGCGGCGCGAACTCTGTATGAATCTCAGCCCTATTTGTTCCTCTCAGCGCTTACTGACAAGGACCAGGGCGAGGAAGTCCTCCACCTCCCAACTATCGTCGAAGCCGCCGAGTCGAGCCCTTCAGCCGCCGCCGCCTCTGCCGTACAGATTCGCACCTATCTGTCCAAGGAGAACTATAAGCGCCCTCATGTCCAGTACAATGCGATTATGCTCATCCGAATCCTGGCCGACAACCCAGGGCCCTCCTTCACGAAGAACCTCGACAAGAACTTTGCGGAGACAGTTAAGCATTTGCTGCGCAATGGCCAGGACCCGAGTGTTTCACAGATCCTCAGGGAGACGCTGGATGCGATGGAGCGAGACAAGGCGTACGACACCAACCTGAAGACTGTGTTCGCCATGTGGAAGAAAGAAAAGGGGCTCATGGAAAACGCCGCAAAGTCATTCGGTCCCCGCAAACTCAACGCGCCAGGTTGGAGCTCTGGTCAGCAGTTCCAGGGCGGTTTCGGCGACGGCGGAAGCCGATCGCGGTCAAAGGGGCTGCCTCCTCCGGTAGAGCTGGTTGGGCGCATCGAAGAAGCTCGCACGTCTGCTAAGCTGCTTCTCCAGCTCGTGCAATCAACACCGCCGGCGGAGCTCATTGGTAACGATCTTGTTAAGGAGTTCGCTGAGAGGTGCACATCAGCTCAGCGCAGCATACAGGGCTACATTGCCTGCGACAGCCCTGCTCCCGACGACGACACCATGCTCACGCTCATCGAGACGAATGAGCAGCTTTCGCTTGCTGCATCGAAGCACCAGCGTGCTGTTCTTCAGGCTCGCCGTGCTATTGGAGTCTCACCATCGCCTCCAGTACAGCAGCAACAACCCCCTCCGACTCTGCCACTGGTCAACGTCGCTCCGTCCGGAGTCCCAACGAACTCCTATGAAGCATCACTTCCAGCGCTGCCTCAGCGCCACGACGTACCAGCGCCCATGGACTCTGTGCCACAAGACCCGTACAATCCGTTACCAAACATGACCCCCCACGGCGCACCGACGTCTCAAACGCCCACTGTCCAGGCTCTCAACAACAGCGCTCTACCTTCATCTCTCCAAGCAGCACCCAACCGGCAAAGCGTTGTTCCCAAGCAGCAAGAGGAGAATCCGTTCGCTGACCACTACACATCAGCCTACACTCCGCCCACAAATCCACGATCGAACGGCTATGGTGGCTCGCCAGACTCATACCACCCTGGCTTTCAGTCAACACCTTCCTACATACATCGACAGGAGAGCGCAACAAACAACCTGACAATGCACGGTGCAGTCATCCAGGAGGAGGAGCGCCCGCGGACCCCGGAGCACAACGCGGCTCAGCCACGGCAACACGATGTCTCTCCGATTGCTGAGCGCAATACAGTCACATACAGATACTAGGGCGGTGTTGGGTAATGAGGCCGAATTTCCAATCAGGCCATGCAGCGGACCAGATGCGGACGTGATGTGGGGGGTTAGCCCAGCTCCGGCTTTCCGATGCAGCCGGCGGGTAACATTTGCGCGGTCCTTTCCATGCTGGATACCGTTGATGCATGATGCTCCAAATCAGACGTTTGAAGTAGGCGGAGAATAGATACCACTTTTGTTGCTAGAATGATCATTATGCACAATTGCACGTTCTACATGCGTTGCAGCCGAGTGCCCCACATGCTCCATGAAAGGCTGTGACCTCATCACTCCCCACACCCACTCCCAAGCAGCTACGCACCCTTGGTCCTTCCATGTTCACGTTACCAGCACGCGAGATGCACGTCAATCGCAACATGAATCTCGCCGCAAGGCGCCCCGAGCCCGCACTTTGCTGCGCATGGCTGATAGACAGGGCGTCGCGAAGTGCACCAGCAATGCACAAAGCCAGACCGGCGACCGACCCCACCAACGCACTAAACTGAGGCGGAATCGACCGCGTCTTAGTTAGCGCCGAAGAATTATAGATCCGTCATCTGGAGGTCTTTGACTAGGTATATACACTACTTGGTCAGCCCGACCGCCCGCGAGCGAGATCCGAAGACTCCCTCATGGCCTCGACTGCCTGCCGCAGCATTCCATGGCTCGCTCGCTCCCGCAATGCGTTGACACGGTGATCATCGGTACGGATGCTTGGTGTAGAGGTGACTTTTGACGAACGGCTGCTGATTAATGCAAGGCAATGGCCCCTCGGCCCTCATCCTGTCCTACATCCTGCACGGGCACATTCCCTACTACATCGGCGGACACTATGACACTATTCTGGATGCGAAGCTGTTCAAGGACCCCAATCTGCTGCATCTGACGTCAGACCTCTATGCGCATTTCCTCTCCTCGTTGCGCTACTCGACGGCCGCACTGCCGGTCAACACGCTCCTCGACACGCTCATCCGGCCGAATGCTGACACCGAGATCAACCCGACGTCGTGTGTAGAATGGCGCTACGAGCCCGACAAGGCGATATCGCATGTTGCCATAGGCGATACACAGCAAGTGGGCGGGCAATGGGCAGGCAACCCGGTTTCTGCGAGCGCCGACATTGGCACATTGAGCTACGCTGAGCAGCTCTCGCTCCCGGGCTACTCTTACGCGGATCATCTGAGTGAGATTGAAAGAGAAGACAATGCAGACTTTGTGCGCCCTTCAAGGACCGAATTCGCAGACTACCTTCGCAGATATCCAGAAGCTGTGGGGATCTCAGATTCGGTCTTCACCGGCACAAAGGTCGACGGTGTGTATCGAATATCAGATGGATTCATCATTGGATCGCTAGGCGTACGTTGCAAGCACCTGGTGCTCGCCTCTGGCGTCTTCACAGTCAACATCCCGCCACCTCCGTTGCTTGCGCCCATCACTGAGCTGGACTCGCGAGAGGCACCATTACTCGTTGTTGGATCTGGCTTTTCTGCCGCAGATATCATCATTTCCGCATCACCGACGCGCAGGATCGTTCACCTCTATCAATGGGCTCCGGACAAGCGGTCGTCTCCCCTTCGTGGCTGTCACCACTCAGCATACCCAGAGTATGCCACCGTGTACCGCCAGATGAAGCTCGCAGCTATGGTATCGGCCAAGAACCGCTCCTCGCGAACACCAGTTCCACGCCGCAAGTCGACCGCCAATCCTTTCTTCAGCACACGCGACTGGGCTTTGTACGAAGGTCTCCCGAACGCTGAGATCATTAATGTCTCTGCATCCCCCTCCACTAGCACAGCATCAGTAGAAATCCGTCTACCATCAGGCGAGATCAAGACCTACGAAGTTGGCGGCCTCGAATACGTAGTTGGCCGGCGAGGCACCCTCTCATTCCTCTCTGCCTCCCTCCAATCCGAGATCCTCTCACCCGCTCCCTACGACTCTACCAACCCGACCCAGATATCTGGCCGTACGCTCCGCACCAAAGCAGAGTACTCACTCGAAGTTGCGCAAAACGTGTTCATCACCGGCAGTCTAACCGGCGACTCCCTCATTCGTCACGCAGTAGGCGGCTGTGTGTTCGCCGCTGGTCGGGTCTTTGGCGCCATTCCACCTACCTTCCCACCAAACTCGCCCACAACAACGACACTCAGCCGCACGAGTTCGACACCGCGCTCCACGAGCCCGACGTCTGACGGCAAGAGCGAGTCGACAAGCACAAGCCCCGTGTCTCGAGCTGCGAAATCAGGACTGACGACACCGGGGGAGTTGACGAATGGACATGCGGATTTGCATTTGGACAGACGGAAGTTGGTGAGGAGCGTGGAGGTGGCAGCGGCGAGTAACCGGCTCTGGGTCGACTCTGGATGGTGGGCTGGGGGTCTCGGTCCTGGAAAACCTTTGTAGTCAATACTGAACTCGACGTTGATTAAGGACGCTGTCCTGCAACCGCACCAGCGCTAGGAACGTCACCGGGCGCCCTGTATACAGAGGCTGTCTATGTTTCCGTCTCGTGACCGTGAAGCTATTCATCGTCAAACGCAGCATACGCTGCGATCGACATCTCTGCCACGACGATGCAGCTTGGTGTTGAGCGTTCGGCCGACTTGACGACCATCCGTTGCGGGAGGCTGACCACTGGATGGCCACCGGAGGCCTGACGTTGTTCGAGCACGACGTTGGTCGATCGTGCAGACACGGTGAGTGGCACTTTCCAGCCCGCACCGTCGATCTCGACGGGTGCTTCCCGCCCGATTACATACTCTATGTCTCGTTTGCTGCTTCCCAAATCCGGGAGCCAATCGCCGCTCTTGACCTCACGTCAGCAAATCGAAGTAGCCAGCGTAGGCCAGGGCACGACGACTTTCCTATGTCCGTCCGCGGTCTGTCAGCGTCAGCCTCAGCTCAATTCGCGTCAAGATATGACTAGCATGTTGTCGTTCCGCCAGGCCCGCGCACGAGCCGCGCAGATATTGCTACTTTCTGGACGATTCGCGTTGGTGCGATCGCCACTTCCGAGAGGACGGCCGTGACAGAGAGTCGCGATGAGAGGCGCACGGAGGCGTGAGTATATGACCAGCAGCTCTGCACACGTCCGGCATCACAGCACATTGCACAGTACAGCCCAAGATACCTCGTCACTGCAGCTGCGACTTGGATTGATACGCACTACTACGAATCTGGAAAGCACCCCACCTTAACGAACCCTTAGTCAGCTGCCCATCAGCAATTGCAAAGCTGCTCCTCTCCTCTTTGTAGTGGAGATTGCTTGGAGCTGGTTTAGTATCCCGGCTATCGGTCGTTAGGACTGCGGAGAGGAGTGAGGCCTGAGTGTTGTTACGAAGTATTAGTCTCATGCCAGATCCATCGTATGCTCGGAGCTCTGACCAAGCACCATCGTTACCACCGCAGACGTACTCTGCGTATCCTCGCTTCGCTCGGGATGCGCCTGCGGGCAACGCATATGCTCAAGCAGGCTATGCGACCCCAACCCAGGCAGTTCAGCAGCGCTCCCCTCTGATCCACCCAAACCGGAGCCCCCAGCAGCGGCGGCACCACCACCACAACCAGATAGCCCCAGACCCGTTTCCGAGCTACCACAGCTTCAATCAGTACGCGCAGGAGGCGGCCTGGTACTGGACGCAGCCGGTCGACTCGGCGCAGTTGCCAACGCTGTGCGAAGCGAAGGGCGAGCTGATACTGGAGCTTGTTGATCCGCTTGCGCCCCCGCTGCGGCCGCTGCCGCAACGACCAGCCGCGTCGCCCACGATGAAGCGCAAGTCGGATGCGCAACGAGAGCTGGAAGTTCTTCAGCATGTGGTGGACGTGGGAAGCCCTGCGAAGCGCCGGGCTGTGTCGCGTACATCGTCGACCACCTCGCAGAGTCCTGCGCACGCAGGCCTCGCCGATGCGCAGTCGTCGCCAATCGCCAATGGTGCGCAGATCGGAAGAGTAAAGAGTACGAGCAAAGGCACCGGGCCGCAGGGGATAGGAATCGACATCTCTGAGCAACGGCGCGTAGTCGAGTCGTCCAGCAGTGTAGACATGCTACCAGCTGGTCGCGTCTTCCCCATCCAAATCGGCTCGGCGCTCTTCAGACTCTCCGGCGCATCGCTATGTTCAGACGGTAAGCATACCTCCGCGGAACACTCGCAAGGACTGGACTGACTTCCAAGAGCACCCTCCTACTTCTCGCACTTCTTCAGCGAACAACTACAAAGCGCCGCCGGCCGTGCAACCGACATGAAGACCCTCTACATCGACCGCGACCCGGACACCTTCCGCGACATTGCCCTGCACTTGCAAGGGTACCACATCGTCCCCCAGAACGGCGAGCACTTCGTCAAGCTCTTCGCCGACGCACATTTCTACTCGCTCCCGCGCCTGACGAAACAGCTTTTCAAGAGCGATATCTTCATCGACATCGGCGGCACCCCGTTCCGCATACCGCGCGATTCCTTCTCCGCACCCGGCAACTCTCCCAACTACTTCAGCCTGGGGTTTGCGCAGTGGTTCAGCACGCCGCTGGAGGTGTTCCCGGGTCTGGACCGGAGTGCGCTGCTGCGCCCACCCAGCATCAGTCCACCGTCCGTGCCGAACAGGAGTGGGGACGTATTTGGCGAGCTGATGAGGATGCTGCAGGGCTACGAGGTGGAGATCAGGAGCGAGACGCATCGAGCGAACCTGCTCCGGGATGCGCGGTACTTTCATCTCAAGGGGCTGGAGCAGAAGCTGATCAACTGCGCGATGAGCTGGAATGCAGACAGGGGCCAGAACGAGATCCTCATCCGACTCGAGGATATACGACAGAGCGGCGTCGGATTCCTCCCAGACGCACGCAATGCAGCAGAGCATGTTGAACAGAGCATAGCAGGGGGAAGCGTGACATACGCGCGCCCCTACACCGACGACGCGGGCGCAATTAACCACCTCGTGCTAGAGACGAGCAGCACCGAGTCCGCCTCTCTTGCCCTCCAGCCGGCTTCCCTGGGTGCAGCGAGCGCTCACGTGACAGTCTCGTTCCACGGCGACGCCCTGCGCCGCATAACATCCCTCCTCGCTATCGTAGCTGCCAAGATGGGTCTCCTGTCCACACAGGCCCTCGCACCGCCGCGAGCCGCTATCCCAGTCCGCATAGACGGCAACACCAGCCTGAGTCTCGATGGCAAGGATGTAGATTTAGCAAGCAATGCTGTGCAGAGACAGCCTGAAGTGCAGTGGACGGTCATAAGGGCGCATTGGCGGATACGTGTCGAGCCCACTGGGACGGTGGATGGGTATGGGGATGAGCATGGGGGAGAGAGGTTAGTGGCGGTGCTGGAGGCTGTTAAAGTTGACGCGTTTACGAACGAGAGGAGGCGGAATACAGCGAGGGCGTTTCTGACTGCTTGAGCTCGGGCGAATCTTTGGATGGATCATTGCATATAGCGCTGGCGTCCCGTACGAGGGTGTTGTGTACTCCTGTAGTCTGTGTGGTGTACCTAGTGCATGAATTTTCAAATACAAGATATCGACTTTTTGACATGTCTTTATTCAAGCTGCCGTTAGATCTACATTAAGTAATTTAGTCTTGAGGGATGCTCGCATGCTCAAACCAACGCTAAAATGATGCTAACGTTACAGTGGGATGATATGCAGTACAAGAACCAGCGCTGAATGGCAGAAGCGCAGAACAGGACATATGCGTCATTGATACGGAACATGAAGATAATGCTTGTTCGTGGGTGTAAAATGCTGGAAACCATAGATCGTGGACATGTGCAAAATATCTTTGACTCTGTTGCCGAATCGTTACAATGCGCAATAGGTGGTGGGTGCATCCGTCGCTCCGTGACATGGGAGGACGGACGTCTTTTATATTGGCTGCCATGAGGAACGATTGGAATCAGAGTCTCGTTCGTAGCGGTCGAGGTGGTGAATTCTAGACGTACTCTCTGGATGGGCGACCGGGCTGCTCGTACTCCCTGGACGGACGAGCAGCAGCAATGCTACCGTAGTCCCTTGGCTCATCCTCCTCAAGCAGGCTCTCCATTATGCTGCCGACATCGGTGTTGGTAACGGTCATGGCATCCTCCTCATCGAGCTTCTTGCGCATGCGGATGACCTGGACGGTGATGTAGACGACAAGGGACGTGCCGACGACAAAGGTAAGACCAGCCAAGACAGCATTGACGGGTACCGGGTTGCCGTTGAACTTTCGCTTGGTGAGCGCGTCGATGCCTGTTTGCGAGAGGTTGACCAGCCCGGAGAAGCAGATGATGGTTCCGTAGACGCGACCGAATGTTGCAAAACCGAAGACTTTTGTGGCATAGTCGGACATTGCCGAGTAGTAGAGAGGGCGCATGAAGACGAACAGGAGGACATTGACGAAGCCTGCCCAGAGCGTGCCAATCGAACCAACAATGCCAATGGCAGTGGCAATGATGACAATGATGAGCAGCACTCCAGGAGTGCTGACATTGTCGAGAAGCATGCCGAGGAACGGTGTGCTGAGAACACCTCCGAGGGGCAGTGCCCAGTCGAAAAAGTCGTTGACACGAGCAGCCAGGTCGATGGAACCGAGCATGTATGCGTACTGCTCTCGGATGGATGCAATGAAGTAGTTCATACGAACCATCTGCATAACTGTGAGAAGGGCCAACAGGATAAACCACGGCGTAAGCATCTGCTCGATGGCAGTCTTATTGTGCAAAGCACCCCAGACCCCCGACACTTCAAGCTGCTGCTCATACTTCTCCTCCTGCTTCTTCCTCGAGACTTCGTCGCCAATCAGCTGGTCAAGCTTGCTCAATCGCTTGCGGCGGCGCGCGCTGCGGTTCTTCCTGCGTCTCCATACCTCGTCATCAGGCAGATCTTCATCTGAAGTATGAACATCGCGCTCATTCTCCACAGCACGCTGGAACTTTATCTCCAGTTGAGGCGTGGTCTTGTAGTTCTCAGTTGGTAAGAATGTCAGCTGGGCGATGACAATCGCAATTGGTACAATAAGGTACGCAAGGAAGAAGGTCTGCGGCTTGAAGGCCCCATTGGTGCCCTCATACGCAAGTCTGTAGAAAAGATAGACCGCTGCAGATGCATCAAAGGCGCCAGTAACGAGTGCCACAATCATACCGCTGTACTTGGGGAACGCGTTAGCAATCTGGAAAGATGGCAAGAACACGAATGTGCCTCCAAGTGCGAGGAAGAAATTTCCGATTGTGAAGCCGTCGAACTCGTCGATCTGAAAGGCGAGGCTCATTATGATGCTGCCAGCAGCAAGGGAAGCTGAGCCAATAAGATAACAGACTCTCGGTCCATAGCGGTCCAACATGGTTCCAACAACAAGTGCAGAGACATTAGCGGTAGTAGACGCGAGCGAAAAGAAAAAGTTGAGGCGCAGATCCTGTTCGTAGCAGACTTCGACTTCCTCGTTGAGCTCCTCTTGCGTGCAGAGATCTTGGTAGACGCCTTCTTTGATTAGGATTGGTTTCAGCGCTGCGAAGCCAAAGACGATACCGCTGGCAAACCAGCAGGCAAGGACGACCACGAGGACTTGCGCTGTGTAGATCTTAGTAAAGTGGTCGTGTGACACGGTCGCTGGAATGCTTACCAGCACGCTTGAAGGTCGACACTTTGTACTGTGTCACACCGCCGTCGACATCTCCTGCAACCGGTTCTTGAGGCTTGTGAAGCGTATCGTAGCTGATCACACGCCTCACTGACTTGCCTGTGTGCAAGAAGCCTGCATTCGAGTATTGACTTTGAAAAGAGAGCCGACGTTCGGAAGCCTGCTCTCGGCTTTCGAGCCGGTCTATCGGCGGCAAGAACAGGTCGACGAGCGCCTCCTCGCGGTCAGTACCCTCTTGTTGTGTGACATGCTGGATGAGCGACATAGATCAGCCAGAAGGTCCACGAAGCGCAGATGCAGGGCAAGAAGGGAGCTGTTGTTGAAGTTTGGTAGAAGGGTTCTGGGTGTAAATTCAAGAAAGCGGGCGCTCGGGAAATTTGACATGACAGGTGCGCACGAGGCAAGTGCAAATCTGGATCGCAGGTCACGCGTCAGGATACACCGCTATCGCGAGAACCTTCGGCTCTGTTCGCTGCAGGCACATCCATCCACCCTGCATGGCATGTGCAAATGACGCTGTTGCTGCTTCTGTCGCGGGTATTGTGTCGTGCAGCGCAACGGTCAACACAGCATTTCTACAATGCTCTTGATTGGACGGTCAAAAGCAACGGACCGCTGTTGTTTTGCCGAAGGAACAGCGGCCTCCATGATCGCCCCTACAACCCCAGCTGTGCATGGCCCAAAAGCGGCATCGTCGCAGGAATAAGACGAAACCCGTTGATAAGGTCGTGTACTTGAACGCCTAGAAGCTCGTCAATTGATAGGATAGAATGCAAACGTAGTTGCAACTTGTAACGGTGTTCCACAACGGCTGTTCCCACTCGTACGACCAGGCTGGATGACAGGTGCGCCATCCCTGTCCTGGAGGCAATCCTAGCCGAACAGCCTGATCTTGCACGGATCAGTGGATCTGCAACATGGATCTGCATATCAGACATTTGATAGAGATCGCAATCTCGTGAACCTGGTTGCAAAACACCACATTCTTGACAGGCCGATGCTGAAGTGACGTTCGAAAGTCACACGTGTGAAATTCGCGCAATTGTTAGATGTGAAGCTGGAAATTGTCAACAGGATCCTACCAAAACTTGACGCTGACATCACAGCTTCAAGCTGCGTTATCCATTCACCATTGAGTGGCATACCGTTGTAATGCTTTACACGACGGTGTCGCAAAATCCATTATTTTTCGAAGCTCTAGAAATCTACAAACTACGCTTCAAGATATGATTACGCCCAAGTGCAGTATATTGAGAGGGTCGCAACAACATATAACCAGGGCGCTCATTCAACAGCATCCACAGGGCTCAGATGACGAAGACGACGCCGAGTTCGACCAGCGAGAATTACCAGACACTTTCGATCCTGGCCCCTCGATATTTCTCCCAGATTGCCCGTCAAAGGGGAGTCTAAACAGCTGCATATCATGGCTGGACCAGCGCTGCGAGCAGGTACGACTCGAGGAACTGCTGGCAGACAACGACTGCCGTGAGGTAGAATTGGACAATGAGCAACGATCCAAGGATACAGACAGACAGACCTGTCAGATCTGGCACCCTGGTTGTAACTTGCCAGAAACAGCAGTTCTGCACCGTATCCGCGAAGGAAGGGGACCGCGCGATAGCGTGGCTAAAGATATCCTCGCTGTCCTTCGCGACAAAACAAGCTCAACATATAATACAGAGTCATACAGCGACATGAGAAAGATCCTACTTGCATGGAATAGGCGCATAAATGGAGGATTCGACAACGATGCAGATGCACGAGAGCTGTTGAGGCTTGCCGTCGACCGGCGTGCACACCTGCTGAAGGCTCCTGCTCGTGGCTCTGATAAAAGCCAGTTCCTCAAAGATTCCTCTGCGGAAATGCTGCAAGCACTTACAGCACTGAGGCCGGAGATTGCAGACTTCAAGAACCAGGATTTTCTTGACATCTTGTTGACGATGTGGGCGAACGTCCTAATTGCGACGCCAGGCTTAGATGATGACTTGAAACTACTGACAATGAAAGCGCTGATCAACGAGTTAGAGTCGAAATCGCATACGTCCAATGCTGTGAAGCTGTCCGGAATTGCACGCTCGTTGAGCGTAGCACGTCTGCAACTGGATTCTGCTGAAGTTGAACGTTTGGAGAAGAAGATGCAGGCTTTCGAGAGCAAGTTGCGCGAGACTGTGGTCAAAAGGGCGATCGACAAGATCAAGGCTGGCCGTCGGAAACTGACAGCAGTCAAATTGGGGGAGCTGCAAGAGCTGACAGAACTTCAAGCAGCGCAAAAGTGGGCAACTCATGCTGCTCTAAGAGGTGATCAGCAAAGGCGAATACAAATCACAGCCTGCGATCAGATGGACGGTAGGCTGCAGCGAGTCCTGCAGCACCGGGGTCCAGGTCTGGACGCTCACATCCACGCCGTTCAGAGCAACGCAAATGCGCTCGCTGGTATGAGCGTCAGTCTACTCTCACGGGCTACGGAAGCGGGTTTCTCTCTGGAGAATCAAAGCTCATCGATGTCGATCGAGCTGGGGAACGTTGACGTGAAAGCTTATGTGACTGGCGGCATTGCCGACATTCTTAATGCACGAGAACAGGCTGCCAAGATGCTTGCTCAGATGGACACAGTCAACAGTCATCTCGAAGTAATGCTGGATGCGGCTAAAAGCAAGTATCGTGCGTGTGATGAAGTCTTGCGCTTGGTCGAACAAGCAGACAACAAGTACAACGAGGAGGTTCAGCGTGTCGAGAAGTTGGGATTCGGGCTTCCTCGAGAGACCATCCTGCTAATGTGCAGAAACGCGCAGAGGGCCAAATAAGTCTCGTGAGTCCCTCATATATCGAACCCTGCTACCCAACCTCTGGCTCCCACTCCGTCCCGCGATAAGCGGTATTGCTTATGTTCTTCCACAAAAACTGTCGCTGCGTGTGTGGAATGGGCGTGTCGTGTTTGATGTCTGCATGATCGTCGAATTCGGGAGGTGCCATGGAGGAATTGGAAATTTTTGACGTCCAACAACAGCAGACACAGCCCTCATAACATACCGCTGCGCGATTAAGGATGTTCCACGGTTGTCGAGGGAGCGTGAGCGTGCACGACCTAACGCGCAGTGACGTGATTGGAGCTCGAGTTCGGATTTCGATAAGGCGATTAACCCCGTCGGAAGAGGTCGGGTTTCGAGCCTGAGAGCTGGCGCCAAGCAGCGCGGAACCTTTTGAAGTCTTCCGTAAAACCTTTTGAAGCCTCCCATCACCACCACCAACCTCTCCACTCAACCCTCTGTCGTTGTTCATCGCCTTTCACCATGTCCACCGCTCCTCCCCCAACTGCCACCGGCTCCAGCACTGTCGACGCCGCCAAGGCCAAGCTCGCTGCCATGCCTGCGCCTGACGCGCCCACCGGTGCCTCGCTGTATGCGCGCTTCGCTTTCGCGGGTGCCGTCTGCTGCTCTGTCACTCACGGTGCTCTTACCCCTGTCGATGTGTATGTCTCCACCTCCCATGGCACTGATGCGCGCCAATGGCTGCCATGCGGTTTTCCTGGCACACGCGACAGCTTTTGCCAATGACGTGCGAGCTCCTAGCTAACAGCCATTCAGCGTCAAGACCCGTATCCAGCTCGACCCGGCCACCTACAACACTGGTCTGATCGGTGGTTTCCGCAAGGTCATCGCCAACGAGGGCGCCGGCGCCGTCTGGACTGGTTTCGGCCCCACCGCTGCTGGTTACTTCCTCCAGGGTGCCTTCAAGTTCGGAGGATACGAGTTCTTCAAGCAGCAGGCCATCAACACCCTCGGCTACGAGGCTGCCTCCAACAACCGCACCGCTGTCTACCTCGCGTCCGCTGCCTGCGCCGAGTTCATCGCTGACATCGCTCTCTGCCCTCTCGAGGCCACCCGCATCCGCCTCGTCTCCGACCCCAAGTTCGCCAACGGTCTGGTTGGTGGCTTTGGCAAGATCCTCAAGAACGAAGGTGTTGGTGCCTTCTACTCTGGTTTCGGCCCCATCCTGTTCAAGCAGTAAGTGCCTGAAACATTCCTTTGGTCCGGATGGAGCTGACATATCCAAAGGATCCCTTACACCTGCGCCAAGTTCGTCGTCTTCGAGAAGGTCAATGAGGCCGTCTACACCGTCGTCGACAAGAGCAAGACCTCCAACGGCATGCAGACTGTCTACAACCTCGGCTCCGGTCTCGTCGCCGGTTTCGCCGCTGCCATCATCTCCCAGCCCGCTGACACCATGCTGTCCAAGATCAACAAGACCAAGGGTGAGCCCGGTGAGGGCACCACCAGCCGTCTCATCAAGATTGCCAAGGAGCTCGGTCTCCGTGGCTCTTACACCGGTATTGGTGCCCGTCTCTTCATGGTCGGTACCCTGACCGCTGGTCAGTTCGCCATCTACGGTAAGTCACTCAAGCCCCCTCCCCCACATTACCAGTAGCGCTAACAGTCTTCAAGGGGATATCAAGAAAGCACTTGGTGCCACAGGCGAGTCAGCTCCTTACCTCTTGCGTGCACACGGCTAACAATGTGACAGGTGGTGTTGAGATCTCCAAGACCAATTAAGCGGTAATCCGAGAAGAAGTGGTGGAGCGATGATACCAGGGCAGCCACGGCACTGGGTCTTTAGAGGAAGACTTTGTAGTGCACGGAAAAGTCTTTCTTTTTTGCATACGGCTGGCATGGATATATTCCCATTTTCTGTTCATGTGTTTGCGTTTTATATGCCGCTTAGCTACTTGTACGTTCAGCCCGCCCGAAAGTGGCACTTGTAACAGTACGGTCTCATGAGATTAGCTGCACAATAGACGGAGCGCTTAATGACACATCCGCGTCCATTGCATGATTGGCGATTTCCGACAGCGTCCTGTGCGAAAATTCTCGAATTTTGGGAGGTAGTCAGCGCGTATCAGACTGGCCCTAGGAAGGCCAGGCATGCTGGGGACTACAACTGAGGCCGATCAAGATGAATCAGCGGTATTATCAGTCTCTCAGCCAGCCTTTGGGCAATTGCGATTTGCGGTAGTTCTTCCACGGAGCCAGGCCACTGGTGTGACCAGGACCCTTCTTCTAATTTCCAATTTTTCGGAGGTGCTCAATGATAATCCGCGTCATGTCCATTGGCTTACAAGTACGCAGATGACTACAAATTATTTCAGTCGCACACATTGGATAGCCAGTCAACCAGGAAGGTAGCGTACTTTCGGTGGTGGAAGAATTGCGCCGTGGTGAAGTCTGCAGCTAAGACGAACTTCTAGGGGCTTCTGCACAGCGTCCCTGGTAGAGAGCATTACTCAGTAAGGCCCTAGGGTACCATGAAGGTACTATAGTAAAGCTGCTATATATCGAATAGTAGATTAATAAGTCTACGCCTACAGGTTCTTTCCAGCCTCCTGTTTGCCTGTCTGTCTTATCTTCCTCAGGCCTGGTTTCTATACATTCACCCTCCTGTGGTACTATGGGTTACTTCTTTTATTGCACTGCTACTACACTGCTAGACATCTATACTATTACTCTGTAGCAGAAACTGCCCGTAGTACGTACCCTTAGAAATGCCGTATTATGAGCAGAAGCTTACGTAGACGAGGACGTGATTTCGTCCAGCCCGGGTGCCTCTCTGGCGAGGAATCTCACTTTCCAATGCATCATTTCACAGGTCTTTCCTCAGAGGCTTCACGTCCAGGATAGGCCGAGCTGGGAAGTCTTATTTGCGTGTGCTTTCAAGACTGCCTTCTCGGCTTGTTTTCTGGCTGTGGTTGTTGCTGGGTCTCCATCACAATTGGCGTTATACTTGGGTACATCGTTCACTCGGCATCTCCGTGCTTCTTGGTCAGCATTGTGGAGAGGGCAAAAAGTGCAACCTACCTTCGGCGTGCTTGCCTCGCGTCAAGGGATGGAGCGTTGGTAGAAACAGGAGTGCTGCAGAGACTCTTGTTGAGTACTGTGGGGGCAATTGGCTCAGGGGACCTTAAATCGTTCAGTTCGGTACAATTAACAGCCATCAACCCCGTATCTCTCTCGCGCTCGTCGACATCATTGAGTATCGAGAATGGGCATGCATGTCTATACTCCTGAGTTGGTCACGCTTCATACAACACGTAGCGCAAAGAACCGCGTCGTCTCAAGTCTCAGAGAACGGCACAAACTTCTCCCCACTCGCCTTCTCCACACTCATCCCCGCGCGCTTATAGCTATCCAACTCCTGCAGCTTTCTGACATACCGATACAACGTCGGATAGGCTTGCTCATTACATGCCTTCTTCTTGACCGCGGCCTCGAGAGCGAAATGCATCATGATATCCGCCGACGTCAGCTTTTCGCTGCAGAAGTACTCTCCCTTGCTCGGGGACTCTTTCAGGTACGTCTCCAGGAAGTCCAGGTGGTTGGTGAGCTCGGGAGTTGTGTAGGACCCGTCGACCTTGTTCGCGATTCCGTTGGTGATCGGGCGCAGAAAGAAGGGCACGGGAGCAGAGCGGATACTAGATGTGATTAAAGACACGATCAGGGGCGTGAGCAAGGAGCCTTCGGCGTAGTCCATCAGGAACTTATGGCGCATCCAGGACTCGGTTTCTGCGCCGAGGACACCGTCTTTGCCCTCAGGGTAGCGGCGAGGAATTAGAGAGGGGCCGAAGTGGTCGCATATGTAGTCGAGAATTGTCTCGGATTCGGTGACAATGATCTGAGGGGTCAGCTAATGTGGTAATAATTGCGTTGGCGTTGATTTACCTCCTCATCAGAGCCGGCTGGCATGATACCAATCGTAGGCGAGCGACCCAAGGGATGGAATTTCTTGAGCTCTGGGCCAGCGCGACCTTCTTTGTCGCGCTTGAAGACTTTGATGTTGTATTCGAGCTTCAGTTCTTCGAGCAGCCAGATCACTCGCTGAGCGCGAGACTTCTCGAGCCTTATAAATCTGGTTAGCGCATGATTTGGTAGCTATGTGTATCATCGGTTGGTGCATGGCGCGAGGAATCCCTAGCCATAGCGTGTGGTAGAGGTGGTGGTGCAGTGGGGCTGCTTTCACGTGCAACGGTGCAACGTACCAGTAGACAGTGATCTTTGCGCCCTGTTGGTTGGACATCGTGAGTGAGTATAATTATGATCCGAGTGTATCTCAATCGGTTTTGTTCTGAAGCGAAAGACGAGAGGTGTAATGAGCATCGAGGTGTCGTGCTGTTCATATCTCTTCTTTGATCAAAAGGGCCGGTCGCGTCGGCAGTGTTGCGGAGAAACTCAATGAGCCGCGGTCCTCGCCAACGCCGACTGCACATGATGTGTGGCTGCGGCAACAATCCTACTTTTCGGGTGACGGCATCTACGGTGCTCCCAAAGGAGACATATTGATGCTCATGCGACCGTATGTCACATGGAGTTCGCAAGGTGGGCACCTGCGGCAATGAAAAGTCACCGAAAGCCGCAGCTCTGGCATGCAACCCAACATGGCGCCTAACGATGGAACTGCTAATAGACTTGACTCTGTTTGTTATGCGAGGTGGATTTTGCACAGCGTTGAGGCTAGTTGAGCCCTGTGAATGAAGGCTATTGTGCGGCAGTTGCGGTGGCTCGTACGTGCCCGAACGCAAGGCTGACATACGCCGCCAAGCCCAGCACCTCCGCCCGCCGACATCACCGCTTGAACTCACACAACCCACAACCACACCCCCGTCTCACCCCGCAAGCCGCGCTTTACCACCCTCACAATCGTCACAATGGCCGGCGGACACGAAGGCATGCCTGTCCCTTTTCCGAGAGCTAGCGCACGCGGCGCAACGGCGAGCAATGGCTAATGAAAGACAGCTCTTCACAAGGATCCCGCGATCATAAAATGGAACAGTATGTCGCCCGTACGCCTACGCGCCTTCCAATTCTAACCGGATCGCACGTACCTCGATTAGCGGAAGAACGGCGGACGAGGGACTTAGGGATTTGGAAGGAGAGCAGAGCTGACGCAGGGCAGACATGGTGGTGAACCGCCATAAGTACTTCCGCTGGACGAAGCGCACCGCGTTCATTACGACCATGTACGTCGTTGTTGTCCCTGCGACATTGGGCTACTTCGGTTACATCACTGATGTAAGTGGGACGCGCGGAAGCATGGAGGCATTCTTGGAGATGGGGCATTGGCTAATGGCGGGCAGGGCAAGTGGGATATGCGTGGAAAGAGGAGGGGAGACACCATCTCTGAGTTCTAGAGCAGAGATAGGGGGATTGCTGAGGAGGAAGAAAGTCATATGTATACACTACAAGGAACGCAGAGCTAGCCAGCGCAGCTGCGAGATCGAGGCAATGAACTCTTCTATATTTCATTGAACACAAGTCTATGTGAATCTGGTCTTCGTTTTCTACTCCTTTTTTCGCAAATGTTGTGTTGCTTGAACAGACATGTGATGGGAGGTACTCTCCTACCCGCGACTGCCTCCGCATCATGACTTTATGGCTCGGCTCACCCCTGTGTCTTGCTCTAAACTCCTCGTGTACCAGCGTTCTTCTTCCGATGGAATTGTCCATTCTGCACACCATGGCAATCGATACCTTTCGCTCGCGTGCCAAGCTCCCCATTCCCCTGTATTTTCCTCTCAATCTGGTCCAAAAGCGAACGCAAGGGTTCCTACTTCGCATCTTGCTGCTCTCTCTCCTCAAAAGCTTTCAGCCAGTCGCACTCCTCATCATCAGGCGCAACATACAGCGGGCGCTCTACAGCACGAGTCCAGAAATCCAATGACCGGGGTCCGATGTTGATGGCCGGGTCGTGGTACACACGCTTCAAGGCGACGAAAAAGGCGTCACACTCCCTTTGCAGACCCAAGACTCGCAGAGAGCGGAGGATGCGAGTAATGCGCAGGTGATTGTGGTCCATGCGGACGGCCCAGTTACGAGAAGCTTTGCGGAAGTTGGGACCGCGAACTACATAGTAGCCGAGGGGAGAGGCCGGCGAGGTAGGCTTGGGCTCGGGCGCTGAAGCTTCAGGTTCATCTCGCGCCGCCTCGGCACGGGTTGCTTCTGTAGTCTTCCCCATGGTGGACTCGCTAGTAGTAATCGCGGGGGCCTGTGCATCTGAAACGCCTACTCCAGTCTCGGATATGGTCTGAGAAGGCTCGGATACCTCCTCCGTAGAGGGTTGCTTGGACTCGTTCATATCCGTCTTCTCTTCGCTCTCGGGCTCAGGGTGGATCGAAGTAGTAAACCCATAGAAGGTGAGCATGCGCTCGAAGCTCGCGCACAGCCGCTGTCTCAGCTTGCTGCTCGTGCGAAATGTCTTCATGGTCTCGAGGTCGATGACAGGTGCCGCGTAATTGAACGGAGAGCCCTCAGGAAGCGGGAAGAGCATCTGGATGTAGTTGTGGCTGTTCTCGAGCTGGCTGTTGGGCCAGGCCAGAATCTGATCTTGTGTGCGACCGAGTGCGTCTTTTGCCTTAGCATCTGGGTCGTAGAAGCGGACGATAGGTGATTGCTTGGAAGATGCCATGGTGGACAGCTTCTGACGTTTGTTTGCTGACATAGAATTAAGAGAATCAGTGAGAGTAGAAGGTCGAGAACGAAAGGTGAAGAAGATCGTGACCACTCTCATGTAGGGAGAAGGAGCTGTTACGCGCCTGTGTCTTTTACTTTCTTGAGGGTGAAGGTACTGCGGAACGATGAGCGAAATTGAGGACTCTCTGCTTCACTTTCGAAGCGTCGAGTGTATGAGCGCGCTTATAGGTCTACTCGAATTGTTACAAATACTATACGCTCAAATTGCTTGCGCTGATTCAGGTGACAACAAAGGTCTTTAGAGGCTGTCAAGAGTATGTGCTTGCTGCATCGTGACTTCGCGTTCGCCACGTTTGGCTCCAACCTTATCGAGGTTAGTGTAAGATAGCCCCTTCCAAGTCGACGCAGGGTCGACGAACTTCTCTCCTCATCAAGTGTCAATGTAACGCATAGACGAAGACTGCTTCTATTTTCTGTATTCCTCTACGCCATGCTTTGATACGCAGTGGATTCTTCCACTAGTGTTATCTTATGATCTGCCTGCGGCCTGACGTCAGCGGGCGCTTTTGTTGAGCCGCGCTTGTCCTAAGAGCATCCAGACCACGAGCAAAAGAAACGACTCGTATGGATGACTTGCTTTTGCGGCTCTGCCTGCAAGAAATTCGGTACAGAAACCTGTTGCACACGCAGGGGTCGAAGAAGCTACTGTCGGGCTGCGCCACTACGTAATTAAGAACCACGGTACTCGTAGCCATGCGGTCTCTTCAAATAGCGGCGGTGGAAGCACGCTTTGCGACTGAGCATCAATCCACACTGAATAGCTCCAGCATCACATAACAAACATGGGTTCTGACGGTAGGAGTTGCGGTAGCACGCTTGCTTCTTGCCTCTAACAAGAAACAGAGCAGCAACACACACCAGACAACCACACCCTGTTCCAGGGTTTTGAGTGGAACGTGCCCGCTGACCAGAAGCACTGGAAGCGTCTCATTGCAGAGGTTCCCAAGCTCAAGGCTATTGGTGTCGACAACATCTGGCTCCCGCCCGGTTGCAAGGCCGCATCACCAGAAGGCAATGGATACGATATCTACGATTTGTACGACCTAGGCGAATTCGACCAGAAGGGTCAGAGGAGCACTAAGTGGGGTACCAAGGAAGACCTAGTCGAGCTCTGCAAGGTCGCAAAGGAGAATGGGATAGGGCTTTTCTGGGACGCTGTCCTCAATCACAAGGCCGGAGCTGATAACACCGAGAAATGCCGCGTTGTAGAAGTCGATAACAACGACCGCACGAAGGAAGCGTCCGAAGCATATGAGATCGAAGGATGGCTAGGTTTCGACTTCCCCGGCCGTGGTGACAAGTACTCTTCCCAAAAGTACCACTGGGAGCATTTTTCGGGGACAGACTACAATCAAGCCAACGAGAAGAAGGCCATTTACAAGATTCTCGGTGACAACAAGGGCTGGAGCGCATCGGTCGACTCGGAAAGCGGAAATGCCGATTACATGATGTTCGCTGACATCGATTACTCCCATCCCGAGGTCCAGGCTGATGTGAAGAACTGGGGTATTTGGATTACCAAGGAGCTTGGCTTGAAGGGCTTCCGTCTTGACGCTGTGCAGCACTTCTCCGAGCGCTTCACCAACGAATGGGTCGATAACTTGCGCGACGAGTGCGGGAAAGACATCTTTATCGTCGGTGAGTTTTGGTCCGGCGACGCAAAACTCATGTGCGACTGGCTCGAGGACATGGACCACAAGTTCTCCCTCTATGACTCCCCCCTTCTCAACAATTTCTCGCAGCTCTCCAAGACACCCGACGCCGATCTGAGGAAAGTTTTCGACAAGACACTCGTCTCGATGAACCCTATCAGCGCCGTCACAGTCGTGACAAACCACGACACTCAGCCCGGTCAGACCGTGGAGACACCTGTTGAGGGCTTCTTCAAGCCTCTCGCGTATTCCCTCATTCTGCTCAGGAAGGAAGGCTACCCCTGTCCCTTCTATGGCGACCTGTACGGTCTTAAGGGCGAGCACGCCGCCGACCCAGCGTGTGGCGGAAAACTTGCCGATCTCATCCTCGCGCGTAAGCTCTACGCATATGGCTCGCAAGAAGACTACCTTGATGACGCTAACTGCATCGGTTTCGTGCGCCGAGGCACCTGGGACAAGAAGGCCGGTCTGGCGTGTGTGATGAGCAACCAGGGGCCGGGCGAGATCAAGATGGCGGTTGGTGAGATGCATGCTGGTGAGAAGTGGACAGATATCTTGGGCTGGGAGCAGGGCGAGGTTGAGATCGATCAGGATGGCTATGGGTTGTTCAAGTGCCCTGGCACTAGTGTCGCGGTGTGGGTCAGGGCTGATGCTGAGGGGAGGGATAGGTTCCCGACGAACTTCGATGCTGATATCTACAGTAAGGCATAAATGCATTGATGGGAATAGACAGGTGACTTAGACTAGAATTAAATGATAGTACCGTGGCGATATACAGAGTCGCGCAGCGATGGGACACGATCACGCAAAGCCAAATTTAAACTTGTGTGAGGTACAATCTCTACTTGTCATATCGACGTATTTTTCACGAAAGTTATTCGTTAGGCCTCCTTTTCTTTAGCTGTGTAATGTTCGTGCCCCATGCCCCCTCCGACTGTGTTTGTCAAAACCCATGAAGGGTTCCAAACCTTTGAACGCCTTGCACCGTTACACGACGTCAGACTTGGACCTTCTTTGGCTGAATCATTCCGTCCTCTTCTTCATACCCTGATTTGCGGCAGGGGCTCTATACCTTCGCACTATTCTTCACACCAGCTCCTACAGTCGCAGAGATGACGACAGTGTGGTGGTGTGTCGTGGTGACGGTTACAGGTTCAACGACCTTAGTACGTGTGAACGTAGCAGTTTCGATCTTTATCGATGGCGAGGCGGTTGTGGTCTTGACGTTCGAAGCCTTGGCAGTGCTAGTCTTGGTGGTGGGCTTTGTGCGGGTCTCAGTCACGGTGGTGGTCGACATGGTCGAAGTCTTTGTTACAGTTGTAGGCTTGGCCGACTTGCTCTCAGTGGAAGTTTTGGTGACAGTGGCGGTAGACTTTGTCGATGTCTTGGTGACAGTAGTAAGGGATCCAGAGCCAGTTGTAGGCTTCGCCGACTTGCTCTCGGTGGAAGTTTTGGTGACAGTGGCGGTAGACTTAGTCGATGTCTTGGTGACAGTAGTAAGGGATCCAGAGCTAGTTGTAGGCTTCGCCGACTTGCTCTCGGTGGAAGTTTTGGTGACAGTGGCGGTAGACTTAGTCGATGTCTTGGTGACAGTAGTAAGGGATCCAGAGCCGCTCTTGGTGGAGGTCCTGGTCGCTGTAGCAGTAGTACTAGGCTTGGTCGAAGTGAAACTGCTGTTGCGGACTGTAGTGGTGACAGTGCGGGTCCTGTACTCAATCGAACCACTTCCGCCGACGGTGACAGTGCGGGTAGCAGTCTTGAAGACGGCCTTCGGGATCCTGTTGTAGCCGTTGTAGGCACGGACAGCACGGGTGATTGTCTGGCCCTGGATCTGCTGCTGCTCAATCTCCTTCCTGATATCGGGGAGCTGGAGAGCGGTGTTGTAGAGGTCGCACTTATACGCTTCAACGACCTCAGGGTCTGTGCAGTTGGCGCAGGACGGCTCACGCTCAATGTAGATGGCGAACGCGTCACACGCGCGGTGCTCATTGCAGTGAGTAGCGCACACAGATACATCGTACTCGTCCTGGATGTGGGTAGCAATGGTCTGGTGGATGGCAGTCATGTTGTAGTCCTCGACTACAAGCTCATACGGATAGGGTGCGATCTTCGCCTTATCAGCATAGCGGGAATAGTATGTGTTATCCTGAAACCACTCAAGATCTTCGTCAAGGGTCTCAGTGGGTGAATTAGACGCAGGAAGAGGTCTCTCAGGCGTAAGCCCAGGAACGCTGTGGATGGCGCCAGTCTCGATAGCGCTCTCGGAGACAGTCTCAGTGACGACAGCTGGTGCCGCAACACCAAGGCCAGCAAATGCCAGGAGCATAGAGACCTTCATGATAAATGGGAGTTTATAGCGAGACTGGATTTGCAAAAGCAAGTGCAGGTTTGCGGAAACAGATGAGATGGAAGTTTTGAAGAAAGCAAACGAAGTGCGCTTTATATAGTCGCCTTTAGACGTCTGACTTACAATATTTGGTGATGAAAAAATAAGGCATGTTGTTGAGGTTAAGGGGCTGCTTCGTGAAGTGGTCATTGGTCGTGGGACCATCAATTGTGTATTTAGGGCCTACAGGGTACTCGATGAGAGCCTCACTGCAGAACTGAGGGTCAGATCGACCCGTGGTTTGAATATGTCGTAGCGTAGGACCTTCGCCCCAAAATCATGTCACGGCGAAAATTGCTACACCGAGGGTACAGTCCAGAAGGCGTGCGTGCACCTTTGAGCTGGGTGTTGGCGAGAAGGTGATCAGTGGAGACTTGTTGAAACTTGACACAGACGCAGAGCCTCTATCAATATTGCGGGTCGTGGCGTCCGCAATGAAGTAAACTACCCTGAGCCCCAAGTCACGCATTCCGCAAGTAGGGTCGATAGGCTGTAGTGAAGCTCCCATTTTTATGATTTTTTGTCTTTAATGGCATCCTCTGGCCATCAGCCTCCGCGACGCCAATAATCTGGCTACTTCCAGACTGCGGAGACTGATCTACAGTTCTGGAACTCCTAATTGTCTTTCCTAATTGCGGTTCCTTCAAAATTGGTTTGACACCATACGATACCAGGACTTGACAATTCCCTGGAGGTCCTTGGGCGGCACATGTGCTGCTTGTATTACTGATTACCTCATTAGGATAGCTTTCCATGTGAAGGCACTACTGAAGTAGAACTTGACGTGTGCGAAATTGATATTGACTAACGCAGATCACCAAGCCTTCGACGATCACCCTCTTCACCTACCACTGAAAACTGGACTCGGTTATCCAAATTTACGATCAGCACTATCACTATCACTATCACTGCTATCGAGAATCATCGTCAGCCTACATGGTACCCTATCGTACCCCGCACTGGGCTCAGATTCCGCAGTGGAATCTCCTACATTGATTGTGATCAAGAATAATTCGATTGTAATAGCGGCGGCATACATCAGACTTCGTCTCCACATTCATATTTATCAGCCCCCGCGGAGGCTCTGTCCTGTCTCCAGTATAGCTTGGTAATTTCCCCCAACCAGACCCTCACTGCCTGAGTCTATTCGCTGGTTGGCTAATATTGGATGAGGAACTTGCTGAGGCGGTTACTCAATTCCAAAAATCAATAGAACTGCTGCAATATTCGAAGCGAGGCGTTGACCGTGTGAAACCTTTTTTTTGTTGCTTGCGAGGCGGCACTGTAGGGGCATAAGTAGGGCTCGCGTGAGGCGAGCTATGTTCCTAGGAGATTTTCCCCCAACGCGTTACATCGAGGGAAGAAATATCCAAAGGCTCAATCGTCTGGTCGATACCAAATTCGCGCGATAATTCATTCTTAAATATGTACCATGGCCACGTGATCGTAGGAGGCAAGGCAATAAATCAGAAAAGATAGAGACATGAATAATTATCAATGTAATAGCGTACGCCGGACGGCTTAAAGGGGTGCGAGTGGATTGGATTTTGGTCGATTTTCAAAGGCATAGCATAGACGGTATGAGCGTGAGAGTTGAATGGGCTCTTAAGTGGGCGAAACAATCGTACTGTAGCAGCAAACGGAAGTCTTGGTAAAGGTAGTCTACAGAGCCTCAATAACGCTGAGGTAAAGGCGACTTACCGCGTACGGAAGCAGCAATGAAAAATCAAATTAGGCAACGCTACAAACGACGTGGGATAAGAATGTAGAAAAAAGAGACGACACTGGTTGTCGATCATGTTAAAGTACTTACTTGAAGGCCTCCAGATCTACTCGTGCGGAGCCATATCCATGTTCCCGCCGCTACAAACGCGCCGGCGCACAGTCTCCGTACGGATTCTCATACCAGGCGCCATCCTTACCCTCATAACTATCAGTATTCCCCTCGACAAGCTGCTCCTCAAAGTCCTCTACCACAGGACTAGGCGGCGGCGTCTCATCCACGATCTCAAACTCCGTCTCATCGCGCCCATCCTCACCAAACGCGCTATAAATACTACACCGGCTGGGCTTCGGCAGCACCCGGCCCTCATATTGCACAAACCCGTTGCGGAGGTCGCCTTCGAGCAAGAGAGCTTCACGAGAATTAGCTGTGGCGTTGAAAGGCTGAGACTTGCGGTACTTCTCCATACACCTGTAACGCCGGTCTTCTTCTGGCTCCGTAAAGTCGTAGTCTTGAAGTATCGCGCCCTTCGTGGGAGCTAGACACTGGTCCAGCCACTCCTCGTCTGTCGCCAGAGGATCGAAGCCCCGTGGATTTGAGGGCTGTGTTGGGTCATTGTAGGATAGGATCGATGATGTGACTGTAAGGCGCGAGGCGTTTGGAGCGTTCAGTGAGTAGGTGTATGATGCTGGACGGGGAGGGCGGGGCGTGGCGACTGAAGGGGTTTGAACTGAGTAGATGGATGATGCTGGGCGGGGTCGGATGGTTGATGTCGGGCTGAGAATGGAGTCACAGCGGTGCGGAGTTCGCGGCGGTGTTTGTGTGGAAGGCATAGGGGGAATTGACACAGGCGGTGTTGGGTGGTCAATGTGAAGGGGAGGAACAGGCCCGATCTTGGGATCATGCTTAGAAGCTACAATCCGGTTGCCCGGGTGGTATGACTCTGCGAATGCAGCCGAAAGCTGGTGGTCAAGACAATGACGAGGGCTTGCCGGTACCTGGTCGAGGCTATCTCGCGTGTAACGTGTAGAGCGCTTTGAGCGTAGAAGAGATGCCTTTGCGTCGCGTCGAATCGCCTTCAACTCTAAACCAAGGTCATATGCCTCCTCAGCTGCCTGGGCGCCGTCTGGGTGGGTCTTCATCCAATAACGCACGAACCGCAAACGCTTGCTCCGAATTTTGGAAGCACCGTTTAGGCCACTGCTGCGCGAGCGAAGATGACCGTACATGCAGGCAAACAGTGCGAACAATGCAACCTCATCTGAGCCGAGGCGCGTAAGCATGCAAGCTGGGCAACGGTTCTCTTGGTAGGTCCACTTGCTCCCTGTATCAATAGGTATTTTGCCAGGTGCTGCAGATTCAGCGAGTGTCCACTCCGCGTTAAACATTCGTGCGACCGGCTCCAGCTGGCGCACGCAACGTTCATCTTCTTTGGAGAGGATCTCGGACATTACAATTGGATACAAAAACCGCCCGATGGCCACTTCGAGCTCGTATCTGATCCAGGACCAAAGTTCATTGATCAAGTAGAAATCGAGACCCTTGTGGGAGCTACACAACGACCCATGCCATGCCATGGTTGAAGAGCGGAGCCGGCGTGGCAATTTCTTGATGGCGGCTTGGGTAGCCTTCTTGAATCGTGCATCCCCAAGATCCGCCGTAGAGTGAGGATCAGTGCGCAGGACTTGCACTAATTGTTTGATGCCCGGGTTGTGCAGTCGCCGTGTTTCCATTTTTCGAAAGAGTACAGGCATGGTGAATTAATTTCTTTCAGCAGCCTCAGAGGTAGTGAAGCGTTGAAAAATGTGCTTAGTGGGGTTTGTGCGAATCGCCTGCCAGTGGACGAATTCTCGATATTGTCATGTAATAAGTCTCGCTCCGGAGACAATCGAGATGAAATATCTGGCGGCATCGCAGGAACATTGTGTAGGCTTCATGTGACCGCACCTGACGGGTGCGACTACATTGTGTATGGATGTTGATCACTCCAGCAGTGTCGAGATTGACAGGAAAGCAGCTACCCTTTGTTAGACACATTGTAGATTGAGTTGCTCATCTGAGTCGCTACTCCGAAACGACTGAGACATGCTCTCTTGTTGAGGGACGTGAGTAATGATCTGGCTCCGATCAGCATAATTTGCGATTGTGGATTGCTGCGCACCCGGCAGCGCTGTCAGTGGGGGGTAAAAATGAGATGCAAAGAAGAACAAGATCGATTCAGTATCGTCATGAAACCGCCCAGACGCCGATTCCCAACCTCATAAGCCCATGAAGCGAACGACGAGCTCGTAGCCACGAAGCAGAAAGCGTCCCAAAGTGCCACGCCGGGCTAGACGAAGATGTCGAAAAGATGTTGAATGAAGTAATACAGTTGAAGGCGAAAATTGTGTGTACCAGAAACTATACATTAGTTATCGCAAATGCTTGTATGCAACCACTCGAATGAGCGTGACGCTCAACGCGAGCTCTCAGCTCGTAGAACACCAGCGCCCCTGCCGTGCAGGTTCTGATTAACTTTGTTCGTCAGGTCCTTGAAGCCCCCAGCCGAGGACGAGATACTCAAAGCCTTCTTGCGCGAGATGCGAGGAGTAGAAGCTCCTTGTGCGCGCAAGTTCCCGTCACTAGCAACATCTGCCAAGACCGCGTTAAGCTCGTTCTCCTTCTCCTGATCAAACTTCTGCTGCGCAGTGCGTCGCGAACGCTCATACTTGGATGCTGTGTCGCCCTTGTACATGGTGCCACCAATGCGGTCAAGGTACACGAAGAATGGTTGAGAGAAGTTTGTCTTGATGCCCCAGCTTTGGTGATGAATGTCGTGGTAGGCGGCGTTGTTAGGGAAAATGTAGTGGAGAGGGTCGTAGGGGAACTCGTAGCCGCTGTGGTCCAGAACGGTCTTGATGGTAGATCCAGTAAAGAACCACATCGACTGGCGCATTGTCATTCCTGTGAGGAGGTATCCAAGACCTCCACCAAGCGTATCGAGAGCGAAGCCCTCGAGAGGGTGGTTGTACAGAGCGCCGTAGGCATAGGGGACGTAGAGACGGTGATGGCGCGAGTGGAAGGTCACTATTGCTGTCAGCTATCTAGGTGTGGGGTTTAACTGAGATCGACTTACCGTAGAGCCACTTGTTCATGTGCATGGCGCGGTGGAGCATGTACTCCCAGGCATCGATGATGACGATAGCAGCCATAAACTGGACCGCAGGCACGACATACCAGTACAGGAAGCTTGCAGTGCCGAGCTCCCACGAAGCAAAGGCAGGCAGTCCTGGGTAGCGTCCTCCCGCAACGACGGCTGCCAAGGTGGGCTGTGCGGCAGACAGCTTGGTGGCCAGTCCGGTGGGGTTGAGTCCGACCGTCGATAGAATGAGAGGAACAGTGCGCTGTACGAGACGCAGCTTCTGCGCGTACCAGGCCACGTCGTACTCTGCGGTGCCGGTGGTGAGCGCCTCGTCGTAGTAAGACAACCCCATCAAGGCTATCGACTGGATAACCTGCTGCAGAACAACGTCGCGAAACACCTCCCAGCGAGTAACATGGTTGCGCTTGAGAACTTCGGCAGGCGTGTGCAGACGATACTGGGCGAACAGTTCGTATACGTCGATTGCGTGGAAGATGAGCGAGACGGCCCAGTATGCTACGATCGGGAGTGCTGTTTGTACGGCGGCGTCTGACGCCCAGGAGACGAGTGGTGTAAGAGGTTTCAGCGTGTATTCGGGCAGCGGAGGCAGGTCGTAGGAGGTGACGTTGCTCGCCATGACGGCGGTGGGGTATGTCGACGAGCTATGCGGCGTGTTGCGTGCAGGCGTGGCGGCTGGCGGCGAAGTATATTACTGCTGCGGCAGGGCCAGAGATGATGATGCTGCGCTGCGCGCCGTCGGATGCCGCGGAATAGCGAAATTAGGGGGAAAGAGCGTCCCGAGGAAACGATCAGGCGCGCTGGCGGTGCAATTGTTCTGCGGGACTCGAAAGGAGAGGCTGAGGTGGGCAGAGCAGCAACGGGGGCCGTCGTGGGAGAGCGTGGTGCTGACGCTGCTTAAAACAGGCACATCAATGCATCATGATCCCGTATTCCGTCCGAGTCCCGCTCGCGCCCACTGCCCAGCATTGCCCGACATGTGCTTCGCCACCGAGGCGGCCGACTGAGAAAATAGAGGTCCGTGCCCGCGTGTTCCAGAAGCGGGCTAGTGGCCGAATGTTTTCTGCCCCGCCAACCCCAAGGCCGCGAGCATTTTGACCGTGTCCCCTCTTTCAGATCTCGTTCACTCACTTCTCTCCTTCACGACATCTACACAACCGCCACAATGATCATTTTCAAGGTGCGTGCCCGCCAACGCTCTGCGGCGACCTGGCTGCGCGATTACCCCGCTCTCGTCACTGCGCGCCAGCATGTCCTGCACTTCGTCGAGCCTTCTGCTGGCCACATCTCGCTAACGCTGGCTCTAGGACATCCTCACCGACGACGAGATCATCTCCGACTCCTACGATCTCAAGTTGATCGACGGTGTCGTCTATGAGGCCGACTGCAAGAAGATCACCATTGGTGGTGAGACCTTCGGTATGCTCTGCCCCACCGAACACCATTACTCAAGGAGGGGCTCTAATATTGCGCAGATACTGGTGCCAACGCCTCTGCCGAGGAGCAGGAGGAGGGTGCCGAGGACGCGGCTGAGACCAAGATCGATGTCGTCTACTCTTTCCGCCTGAACGAGACCGGCTTCGACAAGAAGGGTTACCTGACCTACCTCAAGGGTGAGTTTCAACTGCGAGAATGGCCTTAGCTTTCTTCTGACAAGAACTAGGCTACATGAAGGCTGTCAAGAGCAAGCTCCAGGAGAAGGGTGCCTCTGCCGAAGAGATCAGCGCTTTCGAGAAGGGTGCTGCCGCATACGCCAAGAAGATTGTTGCCAACTTCAAGGACTACGAGTTCCTCACTGGCGAGTCCATGAACCCTGACGGCATGATCGTCCTCCTCAACTATCGCGAGGATGGTGTCACCCCCTACGTTACTGTCTGGAAGCACGGTCTTACCGAGATGAAGGTTTAAGTTCTCTCGGTGAGGGGCATGTGTGGAGGAGTGGGGTTGGATTGGTTCATTGATTTACGAATACCTACTGCATCATCGGATATGCGCCATAGTGCGAAAAGCGATACGAATCTAGACGACCCGTCAGCCACTGCGGCAACCACTTGCAATCCTAATCTCTTGTGACTTCGGCTTGCAGCGGGGATGAGCTAGAGGACTGTGTATTGGCCAGCCCATCAAGGGTGACCTGCCTCCAAGACTGGTTGAAGCAGCCTACAAGCCGGATCTGCGACCTGCTCAGCGTTTCGCTCTTGGAATCAACATAAAGGGTTGTATTGCTTGCGACTCGGGCGGCTACAACTTGTCTTCAGCCTGTTCGCCGTTGAACCAATCAAATAAAGGAACATGGACGACTGACACAGCTGCGGTCCTTCTTTGTACAGACACTCGAATTTGTCGCAAAATTGGTTTTGCTTAACGCAGTGCAAATGTGCTTGCGCTACAGGTCACCGTTCTACCCGGCGCTTACGCGGTGAAGTGTTGTCACACGTGCTCACGCGTGCAGAAGGCGCGTTTAAAAATCGGCCCCTGCGTACCTGCCGTCACAAAGAGCGACTGCCTCAGGCGCCATGTTTGCATTTCCGGGCCTTCCACCGTCACTTCTCCGCCCACCTTATTTTAATAGGAGTCCCGGCAAGTTCTTTGGGATTGATTTATTCGAAAACACTTGCATGGCTTTGTGGTCATGCAACAGCCACCCCGCTTGCACGGCAGCGGTGCGGGCCAGCGCTCTGGAGCCGCTCCCGCTTCGGTACCGGTAGCACCGTCGACACCGCGGAAGGCGCAAGAGCTCGACAACCTCATCCGCTCGCTCGAAGATCAGTACCAACTGGGTTTCAATGTCAAACGTGGACACAGGTCGCCAGCACAGCTCAAACGTACAGCAGACAGGGCAGCCCGGCAGATTGGTAACCTCTTCTATAACCACAGGCCGGTTCTCGATGACGCACTTGCGACTTTTGCGACTACGGCTACGTTCATCGCGAAGGACCAACGAGCCAACCCACTGTTGACCGTGCTACAAACGAAGTCACCGCATGTGTCGCCGATGTCAAGGTCTGGGACGACGATGAGCGCGAAGAACGTACCACCCAAAAGTCTTCAGACGTCCGAGCTATATAAGTGCATGTTCGACTGACGCTTTCTTCTACGTGACCAAATGCGGCGCGTCAGCTCACAATGTGTCGGAGAACTCGCAGTCACCGTTACCCCGCTTAACATGCCCACGCCCTGCCCACTGCGTTATTTGTCTCGTTCCTTTCACCCAACCCCCCTTCCTTACGCGTCGTCCGACTGCAGTAGATTTATCATTCCCAGTCCAATTCCATTATTCGCGCCACTTGGGTTTGACTGTTAACTGTTGCTCGTTGTCTAGGCCACTAATAGAACGCAGCCGCCATTGAAGACACACCCCGGTCGAGAGGCCTCTTCGAAAACAACCGACAAGATGTAGCAACTTCGTTATATGCAGGAATGCCCGACCCTGGGTCTCCGACGGACAATGATGAGGACGATTTCGTGACTCCACCGTCGCCAAGAGCGACGTCCAGATCACCCTCGCCATCTGTTACGTCGAAGTCTGCTAGAAGAAGAGTAGAGGCAAGTGTTCAGCTCTCCTTGTAGGGCACTGCCCGTAAGTGACTTCAGATGGTTCAATGAAAACGGAAAGTCCCCGAAGTTGACGAAGACCTCGAAGGGAAACCAGCCCCTCATCAAGCCTCCAGTATCAGCATCATCTAAGCCCGCACCAACGCTGTTCAAGAAGCCCTCGCTGCAAATGGCGCGCTCCTTTGACGTCTTCCCTGCCTCCCAATCCACGGTCAATACCACCTTCAATACCGTGTCTTCTTCGCAGCAGACCCAGCCGGATACTGCGAACACTTCCTTTACATCGGACACCAATCCCACTGAGGTTCCACACACGTTCTTCACAAGAAACAGCTCGACCATAATGGGCTCGCTCGATGATCAAGACCTGAATGTAGGTGCAAAAGTCAGCAACGAGGCTCTTGCGATGAAAGGGCGCCAGGAACCTTCGAATACGCCTTCCCAAGGTCGCGACAGCTCCTCAACGTGGGGTTCGTCACTCTCTGAGGAGGACCTGCTCGAAGCATCTGCCAGAGTCGAGTCCGTCTATGCCATGTCTTCGTTTGCCCCGGGACAGCTCTCGCCCCAGCGTCTAGCTCACCAAGTTGGAGGCTCCCAACCAACGCTGTCGCTCACTAAGAACGGGGCTTTTGCTCAGGCCAAGTCTGCAATAGCAGCTTTGGCTCAGTCATTCCCACCACCGCCAGGTGTCAGTGCCAAGCTCTCTCCAGACAAGGCGGCTTCTAAGCCCAAAAGCCCGGCGAATGGTGTGACTCCCCGTCGGGCTCAGCGGCAGTCTCCGCGGGAACAAACACCAGTAGAGTCTCCGTCAAAGATTGCGTACCACATCAGAGACATACCTGGTCAAGGCTTGTTCGTCGGTGAACCTGAATCCAGTCTGCGCGTGATGCCTTACTTCGCCCTGTTCATCTGTCAGCGTATCGCCTTGGAGCACTCCGTTACGCTGGCTGAGCTTGTTTGCAACATGGACCTCGCATCAGCTTGTGCCGATCCAGTGGTGTTTTGGGCATCTCTTCTAGAGCACCCTAAGATCCTTCGTATCAAGTTCAAGGACTCAGAGCGTTTGTGGTCGGCTGCTAAGCGCAGCTACGATGGTTTCACCTTCAAGGGCCAAGTCAACCTACGAAGCAAGAACTCAGGGCCCATATTTCAGCTTGATCTTCATCCAGTTCTACCGGACAAATCGTGTCGTTTCCAGCGTAAGTACGGTGCTGATCGCTTCTTGTACCTGAACGTACCCGAGCTGGAAAATTGAAAGGTGGCACTATAGATGATTTGAAGCACATACGAAACCACTGTGAGAAATGGCTGCACACCGAGCATACCTTCCTATATCCCAAGTGGCGGGTGTTCCACATCGCGCCCATGAAAAAGGAGAAGAAAAAAAGTCGAACTACAGAGGTCACCCACAAATTTCGTATCGTGCTGTTCGCCACAGAAGGCTGCGGTATCGACCAGAAGCACACTGTGGGTGGGATGCTCAATTGGTTTCTTCCGTTTAGCGAGAATGTGGAACAGAGCTTTTATAAGGCGTTTGCACGTTTCGACCTGGGGTTGTCTAGAACAACGCCCACCCACATCTTCAACCCGACTCAGATCATTCGTGTCGGCGACACGATTGCCAACGGAGACCGCGAAGCCACCGAGTTCGACGATCCAGGTTTGAAATCGTTCATGACCAAGTGCCTAATGACCAAGTCATGAACGACGGCTGCTCCATTGTGTCCGTCGGCGCCGCGATTGCAATCTGGAAGCTCTATAAGAAGTCTTGGGGCATCAATGGACCTCTACCTAGTGCGTTTCAGGGTCGCATTGGAGGAGCGAAAGGACTCTGGATGGTCAGCGACGAGTCTTTCACAAAAGACCCGGAGCACCTTGCCAATATGGATCAAGGTCAGCGACAGCCAGCTGAAATTCAACCCACATCCAGAGGATTTGTCTGACGCCACCTTTGACCGGCACCGTCTGACGTTTGAAGTTTCGAACTACAGCCAAACGCCAGCACATTCGGATCTCCACGTCTCATCCATCCCAATTATGGCTGACAGAGGTGTGCCCAGGGAGGTCGTTGCCGGGTACATGAGAGAGCGTCTTGACGTAGCCAGGAAGGTTCTTCTAGACAAAGTAAAAGACCCAATGAGATTGTACGAGTACGTCCACAAAAATAGCTCAATATCGAGGGAAGGGTCGGAAATGGCCTGGCAGGCAGCAATGCCTCTGGCAGTAGAGGACAAGATGACGCTGCTGCTCGAGTCAGGGTTCTCGCCCCTCAAGCTGCAGGTCCTGGCTAGGAGCACGTGCCGCTTTGTCAAAAAGCAGCATTTGCGTCAGGAGTCAAAGCTCAGAACACCGCTGGGAAAGGCGACATGTCTTTACGGCGTTGCGGACCCTATCGGAGTCTTGAGGCCGGGAGAGGTGTACATTCAGTTCTCGTCCTCTTTCGTGGACGATGTGACAGATGAGAGGTACCTCAATCTAAAGGGACACAATCTCCTTGTTGCGCGACAACCTGCTATTCGCAATTCCGACATCCAAAAGGTACGAGCCACAGGCCATCCGAAACCCTCTCATTTGGTCGACGTCGTGGTGCTCCCTTCCAAAGGGCAGTTCCCACTCGCTGGCAAGCTACAGGGTGGCGACTATGATGGTGACATCTTTTGGCTCTGCTGGGAAGACAGGCTCGTTGAGCCGTTCAGAAATGCTCCAGCGCCAGTCAAGAGTCCAGTTCCTGAGCAGTACGGGATCAAAGCAGTCGGAGAGGGAAGCAGTCGGAGAGGGAAGCAGTCGGAGAGGGAAGCAGTCAGAGAGGGAAGCAGTCGGAGAGGGAAGCAGTCGGAGAGGGAAGCATGCGTATCGCTGTTCCGTTGATAAGCGTGCATAGCGGAGTGAAGCGTTTCGTTGGTCGTTGTAGCCAATTCATTCATTCATTCATTCATTCATTCATCCGTCCGTCGGTTCGTTCGCATCACGTCCAGCCGCCCAGTCACACTATTCGCCTGCCCTGCACTCATCCGCCAAAGAAACTTTTCCCTTCCTACGACCCCCTGACCTCGGCGCCCAGCGCCGCGCTGGCGAGCTGCCCCGCGCCGCCGAGAAACGCCAGGAACAGCGCCACCCCCGTCGACTCGGCAGCCTCTACGTAGTCGTCCGCCGACACCGCACCATCGGCCTCCGTCTCCTGGACGGCGCGGCGCGTCGTCTCGTCCGGGACATATGTCGCGTCGTGTGCCTCGTCGTCCGGGACATATGTCGCGTCGTGTGCCTCGTCGTCTGGGACATGTGTGGCGTCGTGTGCCTCGCCGTCCGGCTCCGCGCCTGCCAAGTCGTGCACGGTCTGGCTCTGGGGCGTGGGCGAGCCGGTGACGGTCTCGACGGCGTCGTCAAAGGCGGCCAGGGCGGAGCGGCGCGTGGAGCGGCGCGAGGCCTGCTCGCTTGCCTCGCGGGGTGCTGAGACGGCGGTCGTGGACGCTCCGGCGTCGGCTCTCGTCCTGCGACCCGACTTGCTGGGGGTCGTGGTGGGGATGATTTCGGCGGGGTCGGACAGATTGGTTGCCGCGTCGAGTTTCCTGATGACGGGCTCGGAGAGATTGGCTGCCGCGTCGAGTTTCCTGATGACGGGCTCGGAGAGATTGGCTGCCGCGTCGAGTTTCCTAATGACGGGCTCGAAGAAGCGGACGTGTTGTCTGTGGCCGGGCACGAGCGGGGACAGCACGGAGCTTTCGAGGATGGCTTCCGGGTCCAGATCGCGCGTGAATGTCCAGGTCAGCAGCGCCAGGGCCGTGAACGCGACGTCGACTGTGGTGACGCTGAGGGCGGGGTGCTGCGAGACGTTGCGCAGCTTGCGTGCCACCAGTCCCAGGCCCTGCAGCAGACGGTTTGCGCGTGTCGTCTCGCTGCCCACGGCGCTGGCGAAGAGGTCCCAGACGGCGGCGGGCGGGGCGGGGACGGCGTCGCGCATGTTGAGGTAGAAGACGCGTGCGTGGAAGACAAAGGCGACGACGGAGAGAAAGTGGAAAACGGCCTGGTAGGAGCGGCGGGCGTGCGACTTTGTCGGGTGCGCGCTGCCAAACGCCACGGGCGTGACCTGGGGGGCAAAGGCGAGGAACAGCGGAGTGAGCACGTAGCCAGAGCGGACGACGCGGAAGACGTCGCCGTGGGCCTCGAGCTTGGGGAGCTCGTTCAGGATGAGCAGCGAGGCGACAATGGGGGCCCAGTACACGGCCGGCTTGGGCGTAAACAGGGTGTCGTCCAGGGGCGTCTCTCCGTGGTGGACAGTGGTGGGGGTGTAGAGGAGGGTGACGAAGAACAGGCTGAGCGCGTAGGCCAGGCTCCCGTAGGCGCCCAGCACGACAAAGGAGGCAACGGTCCACGGCGACAGGCTGCGACGGTGGCCCTCGACGCCAATGAAGATGGAGGCGGCCAGCAGCGCGGTGAAGTGCTGGGCCGTGTAGAAGAAGCCCGCGGGATTGAGCACGGCGACCGCGTCCGACTCGCGGACCAGGTCGACGTCCCTGGCCCAGTCGCCGAGGTGCCAGGCGCCGACGCCGTGCTCGCCGGTGCCGTACCAGCCCTGCCACAGGCTGCCGGGCGTCGGCCTGCTGCCCAGCTCGGCCCACTGGACGTACGAGATGACGCGGAAGACGACGGCAAAGGTGGCGACGCTGGCCAGCGACAGCAGCGCAAGGGCCGAGAAGACGCGCGCATGGCGGCGTCGGACGTGGTTCTGCGAGCGCGTGCGGGTCGCGGGCGGCAGCGTCTGGGCAGCCCGTCGCGCCGTGAGCAGGACGTGCGCCGTGAGGGCCGCGACGAGGAGCGTCTGGCCGCCAAAGAGAAGGACGGGCAGGTTGTTGCTGCGCGCGGCAGCGTCGGTCTCGACGGGCGCCATCTTGACACGCCGTTGTTGTGGGAGGGGAGGGAGGGAGGATTGCGGGCGCGTGAATGCGACGCGCCTGCGGACACGCCCCGATGACGTTGGCGGACCAGAGCTGCCATCCCTGGCCGCACTAGCCATCCCTTGGTTGTCGCGACGGGGCTTTTGCGCGCGACGGGACTTTTGCGCTCGACGGGACTTTTGCGCTCGACGGGACTTTTGCGCGCGACGGGACTATTGCGCTCGACCGCCGATACGTGCAGCAATCCACCCATCCCATGGCGCCGAAGCCACACGCCTACGGGGCCGACGACGAAGAGCCCGAGGCCCCCTACGACGAGTCGGCCGACGAGGACTTCCACCCGGAACACGTCCCCGACGATGCCGCAGACTCATCCGCAGACGACGACGACGACACGGCACGCGCGCCCGGCGCGCGGAAACGCAAAGCGCCCGTCGACGACGCGCTGGACTCGGGCGATGAAGCCACCATCCACGCCGCGCGCAAGAAGAGCAGGCAGCGGGCGCTGTCCGACGCCGACGACGCCGACGCGGGCGGCCTGGTCAAGACGCGGGCGCGGCGCGCAGTCGAGACGACGGAGAAGAAGCAACTCGCCAGCACCGCGGGCGCGACCGTCGACGTCGACGCGCTGTGGGCGCACATGACGCGCGCGCCGCTGCGTCCCGTCGAGCCCACACCCAGCCCGCGGCCGTCGGCGGCCTCGCGCGCGCCCGTCGCCCCGCAGTTGACAAGCGACGCGCCTGCGGACGAAGAGCGCGTCGCACTCACCAGGACGTTTGTCTTCGCCGGCCACACCACGACCGAGGAGAAGCAGGTCCCGCGCTCAGCCCTCGGGTCTTACACCGCAGCCGGCTGGACCACCACCACCACCACCACCACCACTACTACTACTACTACTGCTGCCGCCGCCGCCGCCCTACCCCCGGACGCTGCAGAGCCGACGCCCGCAAGCGGCGCAGACGGCAACGTCCGCCGCCCTCTCAGGCGACCGAGCCGCTTCGACCCGAACCCGACGGGCTACGTCCGCGCCCTGGCACCCGAGCACCAGCTCTCCTGGCCGCGCAAGAACGCCCCGGCTCTCGCGCCGCCCGCAGACACGCCCGGCTCCGGCGCGAAGCAGGCCAAGGCGACCAAGCTCAACGTCGTGGACAAGTCGCGCATGGACTGGACGGGCTTCGTGGACCAGGCGGGCATCGCGGGCGAGCTGCACGAGCACGGCAAGAGCAAGGACAACTACATGGGCCGGCGCCAGTTTCTGGCCGGCGTGGAAGCGCGGCGCGACGAGGAGGGGCGGAAGGGTAGGGTTGCGACTGCGACTGCGACTGCGGCTGCGGCTGCGGCTGCGGCTGCGGCTGCGACTGCGACTGCGTGAGGTGTGGGTGCGGAGAGTCACTGTTGCGTTTCTGATCCCGATGCATTCATGAACCACGCATTCAAAGTAATACCCCTCAAACGCCTCAGACGTCTGCTCAGACGTTTGCTCAGACACCTCCCCAGACACCTCCCCAGACACCTCCCCAGACGCCTCCCCAGACGCCTACTCCTCCTCCGACTCGCCCCCAGCACCCCCAGCACCCCCCTCCGCCCCAGCACCCGCCGCAAGCCGTCGATAGCACGGCAGCCCGTGCCTCCCGTGCTCATGATACCTGCACCACGCGCCCTCGTACCTCTCCTCAATCTTGAGCGTGAGCTTGCGCCCCACGAGCCGTAGCGCTGTGCACATGACATCAAAGCACAGCTCCGGGTGCCACTTCTCCGGACACGCAGCGAAGCGGCCTTCGACCCCCCGCCCCGCGAGCGCCACGGCATCGGCCCACAGCAGCCGCGCCCCGGCGCGCGGCCGCGTGTGCGCGTACAGCTCCCGCAGCCGCTCGGCGTGGAACGACGCAACGTCGGCGTGCACCACCGGGTCCTCGACGTCAATGTGCAGATTGACCGCATCCCGCTTGAACCCCATTCTCCCCGCTCGGAAGCGCGCTTCGAGCGCCGCGTTCGCGCGCCACAGGGGGCGCTGCCTGTCTGCGCTCGTGTGGCTCTGCGCGTTGGCCGCCTGCAGCGCCCGGATCCACGTGTCGGCCACCAGGTCGCATAGGTGCCACTGGCTGCTCTCGTAGCACTGGATGTACAGTGCGGTGAGGAAGGCGCTGGTGTAGGGCTTAGCTACGCCCGCGCCCTGGTCGGCCCATAGGTTTGGCAGGTCGACTTGGATCTCGGGCGAGGCGCGCAGCGTGGCGAGCATGTCGTAGACGTCTTGCGAGACGGCGCGGGCGGGCGCGGGCGTCGTGTCTTGCACCGCGTCTTGCACCGTGTCTTGCACCGCGTCTTGCACCGTGTCTTGCACCGCGTGCGGAGAGTCGTTGCGGGCTGCGGTGCGCACGCTGAGCATGGGGGCTGCTGCTTGTTAGCCAGTCTCAGCCCATCTCCACTCGGTAGCACCAGCGAGGAAGACGGAGCAAGGCTGTCCGTCTCGATGCTCTGACCACCGCCCGACTCGACACATGACTTACGAGGCGAGCTGTCCATGTCCACATCGTCGTCGGCCCTGGCCAAAGTCGCAGACGAGCTGATAAAGTCCTCCATCTCCCTCCCGTACACGACATCATCGCGCTGGGCCATCCTCCTCTGCCTCGCGCCACGCCTCGCGCCCTGCACCCCCTCACCAAGAGCATCAGCATCACGGCCGTCTTCCTCCGTCGCCGCATCCTCCGTCGCCGCATCTTCCGAAGGCGGCGCGCTGAGCGGGAACTGGTACGCGCGCGCATCCTGCTCCCCTGCGCGTCCAGTCGCGCCGTGCTTGAAGCTGAGCTTGAGCGTGAGTTGTTTCGGCGCCGTCGCGTCGTGCTGCGCCTTGGGCCGGCGTCCGCGCTTTGCGCCTGCTCGCTTGGGCCCAACTATTTTCTGCTTGCTGGGTGCCATTGCCGTTGACGGTGTGGACTGTTGTGCTGTGTGTTGCTTTGCCGCAGAGCAGGTTGCAAAGTTGAGCGCGCTGGTGTAGTGGAGAGGTGCAGTCAGCGGGTGAAAGCTTTTAGCGTGTGTGCGACGGCTTGAGTGAAGGTGAAGGCCACGAACGGACTTTGTACAATTGCCCGCGAGGCTGCTACGACTGCTGCTACAGGCGGAAAGATACTTGTGATCTGAACGGGAGTAGTGAATACGATCAAACTATACTATACTTTACAAAGATGTGCGCGTCGTCGTGGAGTAGCTGTAGTGATGCTGTGAAAGCCGCATTGGACACGAGGTCCGCAAAGCGAGACCGAGACCAAAGGTCTGCCAGGCATACGGCTACGCGCACCTGCTGTCGAAGCCGTTGGTCGCGCTCACGAGGAAATCGCACTCTTCGCCATCTGACAGCTTCCTGCCGTGCAGCGTGCCGCCAGTAATCCCTCCCGCACGACCAAAGACCTACGCAACTTCCTGCACGGTCCTCTCTTCCAACATGAGCGGCAGCGCGTGGATGTGCAGCGTGAAGCAGTCCGCTTGATCCTCAATATACCGCCCGCACTCTGCTTGATCCTCAATATACTGCTCACGCTCTGCTTAATCCTCAATATACTGCTTACACTCTGCTTGATCCTTAATATACTGCCTGCACTCCGCCTCTTTGCCTGGTGCAAAAGACATCCGGAACTTATCCTCAATATACTGCTCACGCTCTGCTTAATCCTCAATATACTGCTTACACTCTGCTTGATCCTTAATATACTGCCTGCACTCTGCCTCTTTGCCTAGTGCAAAAGACATCTAGAAGTCATCCTTAATATACTGCTCACGCTCTGCTTAATCCTCAATATACTGCTTACACTCTGCTTGATCCTTAATATACTGCCCGCACTCCGCCTCTTTGCCTAGTAAAAAAGACATCTAGAACCTATCCTCAATATACTGCTTACACTCTGCTTGATCCTCAATATACCGCCCGCACTCTGCCTGATCCTCAATATGCCACTCGCACTCCGCCTCTTTGCCTGGTGCAAAAGACATCCGGAACTTTCTGGCCAGACTCGCAACTCGTCATGAATTTTCTGCAGTTTGATGTAGAATTTGAGGTCCGGCCAATGCTCTCAAAAGGCCCAGAAAGAAGAGCTGCGTGCAGCAAGCGGGCCAGGGAAAGACCCGTAGAGGATGAAATAGGAGACGATAAGCCAACAGGGATGTGAAGAGACCACTGGCGAGCGCCGAGCTGACTTTGAACGTCTCTAGAAAGCATATTGCAAAGGAGTGATTGACGACGAGGGCAAAGGCGGTCAAGGTAACAGTGCAAAGCAGAACATAAGCAAGCACGATTTTCAGTGCCTGTCGATCCCATTCGCCCCTGGAGAACAGGAGCACATGCGAAGAGAGACTGCGCGAAAAGGCAAAGGCATGTGTGAAGGTTGCCATCTCGTTAGCTGGTCAATGTCATGTCGGTGGCTGAAACGGCTGTCTTGGGAGTGCATCTCAGGCTATGTAGGCTCCTTTATAGCATTGCACAAGGCCATACTTATCAGCTGCTCTTAGCAATGAGACCAGGCATCGCTTCTCGAACCTTTCGCATTCGAGGTTCGCATTTCGCGCTCGAATAGGCAAAGTGGCCACTGTACGCTCGGGCAGAGCGGGCAGGGTGAGGAGCCGAAGCAGGACGTGTCACCTTTTGTGTCGACAATATGTTAGATTGAGTGTCCCCATAAGAACGATTACAGTCAGTGATATGTTGGCAGGACGCTGGCTCAAGATGAGGTGCGGAAAGGACAGTTCGACACGCGACCGCGTCGAGCCAAGGCAAGAAGGGCCTAATAAATCACGTGTTTGTCGCACCCCCGTCGACATCGACAGCGTTCATCATCTGTATCACTACAGTCCGCGGACTCCAAACATCACACTGACAGCTTACAATTCCTGACAGCGCCCTACCACGTCTTGTGGATGTTCTCATGTCAAGAGGCTGTCTTGCGCGCGACCGAAGCGCGACCTGCACCCGATCAAGATGACACTCCAGCCTCATTCGCTCCAGCGACTTGTTGCAATCGCTATATACAGCCACTGAATGGCGGCACAAGCACTTTTGTGTGCGATTCTTCGTTCGGATTCGGGGCGCATGCCTCTCCCGCACAGCGTAGAACTGCACACTGAGCGTGTGTTCATCTTTGCTTATAAATCTGATAGACAAGGCTTAGAGATCAAACACCAGATCTGCTACCCCGTCTGTATTGACACTGCAGACGTAATTCGTGCGAATCAGTCCGGACGAATGATGGCTGCGATTTGTTGCGTCGTGCCAAGTTCCCCGCACGACACGATAAATACATGAAGTGCTCGCAGCTACGAGCTTCTGTACCCATCTTACGCCTATATCTGCTACAGGAGGCACGTTAGTCTTGACGAAGAAACTATGCCAGAGGTGAAGCGCATCGGACTCATTGGCCTCTCCGCCAAAGGGTGAGTGAAGGTCTTGAGGCATCTGGGACTGTGTTGACCAGACTTCCAGCTCATGGGCCTCCCAGTCTCACCTGCCATACCTACAGCAGACATCACACTACAAGGTCACAGCCCTCCAGAACAGCTCCAAGGCATCCGCCGAGGCCGCCGCCATCGAATACTCGTTGAGCGATGTTGCGGCCTATGCTGAGCCTTCCGCGATCGCATCCGACTCCAACGTTGACATTGTAGCCGTCATCGTCAATGTTCCAGAGCACTACCATCTCACCAAACCTGCTATAGAGGCCGGCAAGGACGTGTTCGTCGAATGGCCACTGGGCCGCAACCTTGCTGAAGCTGAAGAGCTCACCCAGTTGGCGAAAAAGAAGGGTATCAAGACCATGATTGGTCTGCAGGCACGCCAGAACCCATCGATTATCAAGGCAAAAGAGATCGTGGAGTCGGGAAAGCTTGGCAGGATTTTGACCACCACAATGTTCGGCCACGGCACGGTCTTCGGTTCAACTATTCACGAGGGATTCCTGTACGGTCTGCCGGTCGAAGCTGGTGCGAATCTGCTCACTATCCCCTTCGGCCATGCTGTGGATGCGCTGTGCTATGTTCTTGGCGAGATGGAAGACATCTCAGCTTCGCTTGCAAACCTACGGCCCGAACTTGACCTAATTGGCCAGGACGGGAAGCCTGCAAGAAGAGTCAGCAAGACAGCACACGATCACGTCAGCATCACCGGGCAGCTTTTGAATGGCGGCGGCATTGTCAGCGTCACATATGCTGGCGGAGAGTCGCGCAGCAATCGTGACTTTGTGTGGGAGATCATTGGTACGGAAGGCACTTTGATCCTCGAAGGCCCCAGGATGGGGGGGCATGTGCAGATGTACCAGCCAACGATTAAGATTGCAGCTTCCGACACGTCGCCGGCGCTGTATGGTGAAACTCCACACGCAAAGCAAGAGCTGGAAGTTGTCAAAGTCGAGACGGCAGCGCATGCGTCGTTCAATGTGGGTAGAGCATGGGACGCCTGGGCCGGTGTCGGGCTGGACAAAGGTAACAGCGTCACGACGTTCGAGGATGCGCTGCTGAGACATAAGATGATCGATGCCATATACCGAAGTGCTGAGACCGGTAAAAAAGAAAATTACGTGTGAGGCATGGCATCCGTAGATGTCGAAAGCTGAAGTTGTGCGACCGTGGAATGGAGCCGAGTTGCACTACCTAGCCTCTTTCGACGTTAGCTTTTCTGTTACGTTATGAACACCATTCCCGCTGGCCGCGAAGGAACTTTTAGTCAAGCTCGTTATGCTCGGCTTGGGTTCTGTGATGTCACGGCTGCTGCGACCAGTGTCCTGCGATGTCCTCTTGGAGGATCGAACTAATTACTGTGGCTGCTCAGCTGAAGCAGGAGCAGCGATGCCGTCATATCTTTGAGAGGTTTGTACTCCACAATATCGATTCCATATTTTCTTCCATAAAACTTTAGAGCCTTGGTGAAGCTTGAACGACGAAGCTTTCGACGGTAGACCTTCCGAATTTTACTTCCACGACTTTGGAGGTATCCACTTGTCTCCGCGGCCCTTTCAATCTCCACGTGGGTCTATGGACTCCCTTCAGTTTTGTGCACCATGGCTTACCCAGACCCTTACGCGCTGCCGAACATGTCGAACCAAGAGGTGGGGGAGCCGGCATCTGTTGCGCAAACGTCAAGGTCCACAACTCCACGGTCGTTCAAAAAAGAGTCTGAAGTCAAAGCACAAAAATACCACGACAATGGCCTTCAAGCGGATGGAGAGAACTTCGCACCAGCAGTTACAAACAAGACTATCGATTTTGTATCGAATGACCCAGAGAATCCCTTCCATTGGCCCACTGCGAAGAAATATCGAGCTTGCATCCTTGCCTGTACCATGACATTCATCGTCCAGATCAACGGCACGATGATGACTAGTGCCGCTGAGCAGATTAACGAAAGCTTTCATGTCAGCGATGAGGTGTTCCCACACTCATATTGGCCAGTATTGAGTTGGAACCTGGGTGGTGCCGCCGCACCTCTAGTAGGCCTACCTCTGATGGAGAACTTTGGTGTACGATACACGTATCTGGCTATCTACGCTGTGCTCATAATCTTCATCATACCACAAGCTGTAGCGCACAACTTTGCTACCTTGATAGTTGTCCGGATCTTCACCGGATCCTGCACAGCGACACTAGCGAACATCACGTCCGGTATCGTCAGCGATATATGGTATGCGGGTCTTGCGAAGAGTTTCTTTACCTCTATGTACATTTTTGCGCTACTCTCTGGCCTGAGTATGGGACCCGTCTTCGGCAGTCTTGTTGTGCAATACACTACATGGCGATGGTATGTAAATTCCACGTCCCCCTCTTGACTGATGGTTCTTACTTACAAACCCCAGGATCTTCATCGGCCAGATAATCTTCTACTCTGCTCTCTTTCCCGTCCTCTTCTTCGCTCTCCCCGAAGTTCGTCCAGATGTCATCCTGCATCAACGCGCCGCCAAAATCAGGCGCGAAACTGGTCTCAATGTGCAAACCGCACAAGAAAAAAAGAAAACCAGCGTCTCCGAAATTCTCACCGAAACCCTCATCCGACCCACGCGCCTCCTGTTCACTGAAGGCGTGCTGATTAGCTTGGGCATGTGGTCTGCCTTTGTGATTGGCATCGCGTTCATGTTTACACAGAGCATTATGCAAGTCTACTCGGGGCTCTACGGATGGACATTCTTCGGCACGGGGATGGTGCAGGGCGCTATCGTGGTAGGCGAGCTGGTGGGCGTGTTTGCACAATTATTGCAAGATCGGGTTTACTTTGCGTCTGCGAAGAACAATACCGAGGATCCTGGTCATCCACTTCCTGAAGCGAGGCTGTATCTCAGTATCCCGGCATCGTTCATTGGTCTGACGGGCGGTCTGTTCTTCTTCGCTTGGACGAGCTTTCCAAGTGTTTCGTGGATCGTGCCGTCGATCGCACTAGGGTTTGTTGGATTTGGCATGTTTCTATGCACGACTGCGTTGACGACGTACATCGTTGATGCCTACGCCAAGTACGCTGCGAGCTCCGTAGCGGGTGTGGCCTTTCTGGAGAATCTTATGGCTGCCTTCTTACCGCTCGCAACACAAAGCATGTACCGGACACTGGGCTTCAATTGGGCAAGTAGTCTATTGGGGTTCATCGCGCTTCTTTTGAGTTGCATCCCTGTTGTGCTGATCAGATACGGCAGAAAGCTGAGGGAGCGAAGTCCCTTTATGGAAGTTGCAGGTCACAATAAGGAGTAGTTGTAAGAGCGAAGTACATGTGGTCGAAGATGTGTAAATGCTCATGATTCGTATTCATGGGAGATGGAGCTTCGCTCTTGCATCTCAATGTTCGTGACTATAGACTATGTGGTATCATTTCCGGATGCGCTTAAACCTTGCGCTCAACGGTGTGCTCCTGACCCTGAACCTTAGAGTCAGAGTTCTCCATCTCGATGGTGGCAGCCTTCTCGCCAGACTGGTCGAGAACCTCAGAAAGACCACCAGATCCGGCAGTAAGAGCTGCACCCTTGCGACCGATGAGGTGCCAGGGCAGGTTGAACATCTCGTCGAGAGCCTCGAGGCTGCGTCCGCTGGTCTCGGGCAGGAAAAACCAGACCCAAACGAGACCGATAGCGGTGACACAGCTGAAGAACATCATAGTGCCACCAGTCGTCATGGACAAGAACATAAGAGGGACAGCCTTGGAGTTGCCGTACTGGTTGACGAAGTGGAAGGTCATGGCGAACGAACCACCGAGAGCACGGAGGCGGAGCGGGTAGATCTCGGAGTTGATCAGGTACTGAATTGAGTTCCAACCAAGAGCCCATCCGAAACCACTGAAATAGATCATGACGATAGCGCCCATTGCGGCGTGTTTCTGGGCTGATGTCTGAGGCACATTTTTGTCCGCAATCTTGTTGTCGACGAGGAGGAAGATGGCCATATAAAGCATGGAGATCAACTGAATAGTGATGCCGGTTGACAGGGAGCGCTTGCGGCCGATGAAGTCGATGAGGAAGAAAGCGCAGAGCATACTGCTGGCGAATTTTACAATGCCAAAGACGGATGTAGCGAACAGTTTCTCGTTCTGACCAGTCGTTCCCATCATCGCAAAGTACTTGGGCGCGTAGATGGTGATCGAGTTGGCACCTGACCACTGTCCGAGCAGCTGGGACATGACAGAGAGCTGGAGACGGTACAGATTGGCCTTGCTGGAGAACATCTCCCTAACGGGACCCAACCAGGTCGTGCCCATTGTGGCCTCGCGCTCGCGGTTCAGCTGGTCGTTGATGTCGATGACTTCGGTTTGGATGTATGGATGGTCGGCGGGCAGATTGCGGAGTTGAGCGAGGTTCTTGAGAGCCTCCTCGTGACGGCCGACCTTGATGAGCCAACGAGGACTCTCCTTAGCGCCAAAGGAAAGGACGAAGATGAGACCGGCGAACATCAAGTGCATGCTGTTAGGAACGAGCCACTGAGCATCAGTGCTGCTGGAAATATGTATAGAAGAGCCCCAAGATGCGAAGTATGCCAACATGATGCCAAGGTAGACTGCACCGGAGAAGGCGCAGACGCAAAGACCACGAATAGCACGCGGAGCAGTCTCAGCCAGGTAGGTGGGTGCAACGACCGTGGTCTGACCAATGCCAATACCAGCAATGAACCGTCCAGCGTAGATCATACCGATGCTTCCGGTTGCACTGCTGGCAAGGAAGATAGAGATACCAACGACCCAGATGACGCAGAGTTGACGTGTAGCCCAAAGACGACCGATGCGGTCAGTGACAACGAAGGCGACCAGGGCACCGAGGATGGAACCCATCTGTACCATGGAGGTGATGTTGGACAAAAGTTCAGCAATCTCGTGCTCCGACTTGCTGTGGTCCTCGAGACCAAACTTCTTCTTGAAGGGCTCAAGTTCAGAAGTGGTGCCAATGAGGCCTTCGTCGATACCACGGGCGGCGCCCATCAGACCGAAGACTGCAGACCGTCAGTTAGAAGATTCGTTGTAGGCACATCGAATGGCTTACCGAGCACGCCATACCAAAGGCGCCAGTTCAAGGACTCCTTTGGTGTGTCCTTCAGGTTCTCCTTCCACGGGTTCTGTAGCTTGAAAGGCATATCGGGCGCACTTTTCAAGGTTCGGTGCAATGGTCGAGCGAGCCACAAACTGAGAAGTCGATGCAAATCGGCCAGACAGGAAGCGGATGGACAGTATTTCGGAGGGCGGGGAACAGCTTCTTATATAGAAAGCCTGATTGTGGGGTGCCAATGCGGAGATGCGTTGACCGTGAGCAAACCTTAGAGGGCTCGCTTCCCCCAACCAGTACCCTGTCCTCCGGTCGTTCTGCAGCGCCGTACTCCATCGGGGCAATGTGGAGCTTCTCCAGACAGCAAAACAGACCGCTCATCGGTCCCTCCAGAGCGATAGACTACGCTAGGCTAGTCCCCCGGATGCAGTTGCAACTTGCAAGGGTGTTTTCGTGAAGCCTCTTTCTGTGCTCGGCCATCACGGCTGGAACAAACAAATGGTTCAATGGAAGGGGTAGAAAATAGTTCAACGGCGGTGGTGCACATGATGGTGTCCGTTTTATTTTCGCAGCCGTTTATTGGCATGCGCATGATGGCTGCCGGCCTATGAGACGCGCATGAGGCTTACAGAAGCGTGAGAAGTCGCCTTTACTCAGGGAATGACCAGACGCCGCTGAGCAAAAGCCGATGCTTGAGTGGCCGCATGCAACCCTACTGGCGAATAGCGTCTTGAGCAAGGTTACATGCCTAGCCGTTGCCAGTGCGCGGCGCGTTGCTTCGATTCCTTGAGCGGGGAAGCTTTCCTTGACTCGTTGCGCTTGTGGAGCTTAGCATCGGAGTCTCCACCGAATGACAATCGTTAGACCCTGTCGCCTCAACGTCGGAGGTGGCCCTAGATGCCACTCTCGGCATATGTTGCACCCCGCATTAACCCGGATGTCTTCAGGTTCGGCAGGTTTGGCCACGAGCTGCCAATACCCTCGTGAGGAGGAATTACCGACAATGGGCCGCGGAGATCTCCAGGTCTCAACGAACGGCTGAGTACGAATGTTTCGTCACGAGGCGAGGCCGCGACTCGAGGCAAATTCAGAGGGGTAGATGTAAGATTCCGGTCTTGGTTTTCCGTCACAAGCGGGACCTTGAAGCAGGTGGGGAGGCCAGGATGCATGCGGCTCCAACTCGTTGAGCCTCCGTGTTCAGGGCTTCCACCTCGGCTGCTACAAGCGGTATCCCGTCCTTCAGGCGTTTCTCCTTATTCAGCTCCTCAATTTCGCCCGGGAAATAGATACGATCCGTGCCAAGCATCCGATCGGACCCAACTACGCGCTGATACAAGTAGTCCATCCGGTTCTTGAAGTCGTCGATGCTCATAAAGAGGTCCGGTTTGATGGCTACAAGGAAGTGACCGACGTCTGCTGGTTTCGAAGGATCGTATGGATTTGTGACATGACCCGCAAACGCGCTACCTGATAGGACCCCAGAGAAGACGTCCATCATGATAGCGATTGCGGAGCCCTTCGGTCCACCCATGGGCAACATGACTCCCTCCAGGGCCTTGGCTGGATCCTCTGTCTGTCCACCATCCTTGTCTAATGCCCAGTCGCCAGGAATCTTCTCTTGTCTCCGCAATGCTTTGTAAATTTTGCCTCGAGCTGCAACGGAGGGCGCCATGTCCACTATGAAGGGCTTGCTGCCTTTTCCCGCTGGAGCTCCACAAGCCATTGGGGACACGCCCATGAGCTTGGACTTTCCACCCCACACAGGTAGAGCTGGCGAAGAGTTCGTAAAAACTAGACTCATCATGTCTGCGTCAAGTGCTTGTTGCACGACCCAAGCGGACATGCCGAAATGGTTGGAGTGCTTCACTGACACCATGCCGATACCAACGTCCTTGGCCAATTCAATGGCTACCTCCATACCCCTGTGAGCCGCAAGAAAGCCAAATCCGTTGTGTGCGTCGACTTGAGCAACAGCTGGCGTGATTCGGTGAACAGTCGGTGTTGCGCCCGGGTCTAGCACACCTTCTCTGATGCGAGCCATGTAGCTTGGGATTCGATTACTGCATCTAGACGTTAGTATGTATTGATGAAGATGGATCAGACCATTAAGCGGAGGCGTATGGCAACGTACATGCCGTGTGTATCCACTCCACGTAGGTCTGCTTCGACAAGACATTTGGCGACAATCACTGCATTATCTTTCGATACCCCATTGCCGGTAAGGATGTTCTCAATAAATGATCGTGCATCGGCGGCACTGACATGCTGCATTGCTTGGGTGTTGTGGCTCATTTTGGAAGCTGGCGAGGACAGCGCAAAAAGTCGCGAAGATACCAGAAGTCCGAGGAAGTCGGGTCGGGCTGGTATATAAGCAATATCGAGGATTATGTGAGTCAATGCGCCGTAGAGTCGCCTGCAGCATTTTGCTGCAATGAGTTTGTGAGACTCTGTGATGGTTTGTTGCGGGCAGAAGTCCGTTATGATCCGATTTTGGCTAGGCATGCGAATGCGGACAGCCGTGCAGCCGCAGCGTCTCACGGGAAACGATCGCTGCGGCGAATCTCCGGCCGTGAAGTCAGTCGCGGAACACCACGACGCATCGTGGAAGACATCATGCTTTGTTCGAAACGATATGGGAGAGACTGCCTGCGAGAGGCACAGTTTCTGGATGTGCGACAAATCCTATCTTTAACAAAGCTTTCCAGTCTGCACCGGTATAACTCGAGCACTGTGGAGCAGTGCAAGGACAATGTTCGCTGCTCTTCGATCGCATAACAATCCTAACTTCAACTTCTGCATAGGTATGAAGGCTGCACGGTATCTGCTGAAAACACCAATTCTCCCTACCGTTTGAGAGTGCATAGGGCCTGGTCCGACTTCCAAGGTAAAATAAATCGACTCTACTGACACGATCTCCAAGTTCTATACGCATGCCTTGTGAGCTGCTGCTGTTGATCACATTAATTTTAGATTTTTACACCACTGAATTAGAAACCGATATTTGCAGTGTCACGATGAGACAGACGCAAGAAGGCCAAGGCTGGAACAGTGTCTTTACCGATCACGAGTCGTGAAAGACGGACAAGTATGCGCACAGCGACCCTGACCACATTGACCGTTATCATCGAGAGACCGCATATCGTTATCTCACAACAAAAACCCAATGCTCTCTTCACAGCAACGTCGTGCATCAGGAAATGTTCTGGAAGGATAACCCTGGGTGTTGGTTCTAGTCGATTGGACGTGAGTGTGACCCGCCGTCAAATACTGCCTCGGATCGCGGCAGAAGCGTCCTCATCTGCAGCTACTGATATATTTAATGCGCTTGAACTGCGCTTGACAGCATCATTTGCGGTGGTGCACATGGGCTCCACGCGTAACGTTGAACGGATCAGCCGCACCTGCATTCGCGGTGAACATGATCCTGGGTGCTCACTGCTGGGGCGGAGAAGGGCAGTACAGCACAGACCGCCAGAATGATTGGTTAATGGGAAAGTCCCGAAGTGCTTCATATGCGGTGGATGCTCGTGTCGCAATACGAGGAAACGACAGTTCGGCTTCAGTCATGTGTAGTAGTGGAGATGATGGGCCAATACAATAGCTCAAGGACCACTCATCCTCGCAACGCTATGAACAGCTCAACTGAAACAACCCAACCTGCGGCCAGTCAAAGCCTCTCACTATCCTGCGTACTGAAAGTCTACGTCACCCTCGAACTCAGACATGGTAACTTTTGGGGGCGGCGTCAGCGCACATCTCGAGCTGGAGGTGTATGGCGATCCTCGTTGGATGCTTCGGGTGAGATGCGGCGCAGAAGTCGGCCGCTGAGTCCCGCACGCTCGCAAACGGTCTTGGCTAGTATTTGACAAGCTGATGCCCGTGGTGAGCCCTGCGTCGAAGATTTTCAGAGGGCGGTCTGATGTTCAGGGTTCTGTTGTGTTCAGCTTCAAGCACAGCAGAACGAAAGATAGTCACCGACGCTCCCAATACCATCAACACAGATCGCGAGAAGCTGCAGGCCTAAGAGTGGCGCATCAAACTGCCATACATAATTGGATCGTTGAGCTAAGGTTGCAATCGTCCCTCAGGACCACCTGTGGCTGAGCCCAGAGCAGGCTATCTTCCGCCTCAGCGAAGTACGAAGACATTGGCTGCCGGCGCCCTTGGTCCCAACCTCACTCAGTCCTGGCTCTGACTGTCGTTCCTTCCTTCCACTTGCCCATCGAAATCGATACCGCTGCAGTTTGGCTGTCTGTTAGAGCTGTGATTGCGACAAGACCACGCACCCACCCTTGCGCGCCGCACACCCACCTGCTTCGGCCGCTAGCCTTACCCACTCACGAACCGAACCGCTCCGCAGCGCTCAGGAACCGCCCGCCGTCCCTTAGGCTGAACAAGGTCGCCAGTGTGCGATCCTTCGTTTGCGGCGTGGGAAGCAGGGCAATTTCGTCTCATTCGTGGACCTAGTCACTCGTTCATTTGCTTATTGCTTCACGCTTTGCGCTGTTCTTTGCGACGCTGCGTTGGCATTTCTTCGTTGGCACCTCCGCGGTCATTGTCAGGCGTACAGCAACCGAGTCGCGAATCGGCCAGTGACCCCGCTGCCGCCCCAGGCGCGTTGCGATCGCGAGATGCCCTCCAGTCAGGGCGACTACATCCACATCCTCGACAATGGCAAACCTGAAGGCCGCGAGCGAGTGCCCTGGTACTGGCGCTTTATAGCCATAACGGCTTCCTGGATGATTTTGGGAGGGTAAGTCGCGCACTGCTCAATGTAATACCGGAAAGCAGGCTGACAGATGACAGTTACCTGATACTGCCGGGCCTGTATGCGAAAACCGAGTACCTCAAATTCAGCCAAGCCGTTTTGTCTGTCCTCGTTGTCGCGCTGCTGACCGCTGGGTACTCATTCACAGCACTGCTGTGCTTCGCGTGTCGCGATGATGAGTTTCAGGCGGAGAACGTGTTTTTGTATGTAACCCTCGCCAAACAGCGTCATCGCAACTGACCCAGCTTTAGGCCGGCCCTCGGCTCATCCATCTTCGGCCTTGTTGTAATTGCCTACAACTTTCTCGGTACATCGGCTTATCGATGGAGCACAGCTGCGACAAGCTCAACTGTGCTCAGCGGCTTTGCGACCGCCCTCTACACTGGACTGCTTTGCTGGAAACGACGCATCATTTTGAGAAGGGCAAAGCAAGGAACGCGCTCAAACCTTTACTCCGAGCAGTCTTTCTACACAAATTACGTGCAGAACATGTACCCGTCCGCTATACGAACCGAATCGCAACCGCCCGCCGCCCCCGTAAACGATGACGACCCCGTCAACCAACAAATGCGCTCGTTGATGGTGCGCGACTCCAGACCAAGTCCTGATGCGAATACGTCGACATTCAGAATAGATCTGCCGGAGGATCCAGAGGAGCGAAACAGGTTGATGAGTCAGGAGCTGGTCGGTACCCCGACGCAGACTTACATTCGCGATCGAGCATATAGCAGGCCGGACAGTCTGGGTGAGAACCAAGCCTGGTCGCGATTACAAGAGCGAGGTAGAACAGCCCAGCGTCCCTCAAATAGTGATCTGCGTAGCAGCCATTCGAGAGGATTAAGCAGAGAGGAAAGGAGGCGCGAGATCGAACTTGGGGCACGTTAAGCTGCTCCCTCGAAAACGGATGCAAGGCGCAATGACGTTACGGCAGATGGTGTTTTTGGATATGTCATGACCAGGTCTGACGTGACTTGTCTCAGCGTATACGGGTCTGGGTCTGACATGTTGATGTTGGGATGTACTTCTTGGACGATCCTTTGATGCTGGAACGAAGATAACCTGTGGGCCTCGGTGCTGTAGTAGTACCCTGCACTCTGAATATTAAAATTCAACGGCTTTGATTCAGCAGCTCATGTTAGCAAGTTAGCAAGGTCCAAGCGTAGCGTGCACAAGATGTTGTGATCTTGATGAGTTTCGATTTCGTCGTAATTCGCCGTCTGTCTGGCGACAGCCGGTACAGTCATAGGAAAGAAATGCCTTGGTGCCGTTCAAGTCGACGAATCATGAGTAAGGAAAAAGGAAAACAGTCGTGTCTTTAACGTCATGCTGAGGCCAACCTTCTTGGTTTTAGACCTTGATGGCGAACTGCTTCAAGTACTCGTAGTGCTCCATGTTCTCGTCGACAGTCTTGCGGATGAGCTTGGCGCCTTCCTCGCCATACTTCTCCTTCCACGAAGCGTCGTCCTGCTCCTTGGTTGTTTGCGCCTTTTTCTACGTGACAGTTAGCAATCAGTTTTGGAGATATGCAAAGCTGGAAAATCATACGTGGGTCCTTGCGCGCAGGTTCGTGCTGTCGATAGCATCCTCGTGGAAGCCCTTCCACTTCTCAAACTGAGCCTTAGCAAGAGCCTGATCCTCCTCAGTGTCCCAAAACAGCATTTCAGGCTTATAGTCGATACCAGTGGTCTTGCAGACGGCCTCGATCATGCCAGACGGTTTGTCAAGCAGATCATCGGCATCAACAACGCAAATCTCGACGCCCTGCGCATTGCCGTTTGTGCCGTTTGTCTCGCCTTCCTGAGCAGCAGACTTGGGACCAATAAGGCCCTCCTTGCGGAGATAGTCAAAGAGCTCGCGAAGCTCAGAGTAGCCAGCCTCGTCTTTGCGGAGATAGTCCCAACCAGTCATATTGCTCAGGGGAGGTTGTGTGCAGCGGTAGTAGCTAGGAATGCTGTATTTGGGGTGGCGGATGAGGAAGATGAAGTGGAATGTTGCAAGAAGGTCCTTGGGAAGAACAGTAGGGTTGCCATCTTCGACTCGGGTATCGTAGGGATAGGGCTCGCCGGGGCGGTCTTCTCTCGTTTGTACGGGCGAAAGTTCGGTGGTGTTCGTTCCAACGCCGCGGCGGTAGTTGGACATCGAAGGGCAAACGGTTGTAGGCCTCTCCTTGCCCTGAGGAGGGATCCAGTACTGTGCCATATCCTTGATGAAGGCACGTTTGCCCTGCGAGATGTTAGCACGTATTTGCCAAAATCGGTATTGAGCCCGGAGATAACCACTTCTGTTCCAGAAAAGCAGTGACAAACCACGGAATGGCGCAGGTAGCCGGTGCCTTCCTCATATGGCACGCGACCAAAGAAGAGAGTGTAAGGCAGCTAGAGCTGATTGGACCAATTATGTACACATACCTCGGCGTTATCTTTTGCGATCTTGTCGAAAATCGAACGATAAGTGCTATTGGCGTAGCCGCTCTCTTGTCTCGCCTTCTCGTTCTCTGGGCCTTCATACCGGTATCCGATGCGCTCGGGTCCAAAGTAGTATGCGTCGCCAAATGGCTCGTGTACGCATTGCAGGTCCTTACGGGTCATGAAGACCTAGAGAGTGTCAGCGCTCGGTGGGTAATGGTTGTGTCGACATACGTACCCTCTCAAAGGCCGTCGAGCAGGCCCTAGGGTGCGTAGCACAGAAGATGGGTTTCTGTGACTGCATTGTGCTATGTCTGGAGGTGATGCTGAGTCAAGAATCTGTATTCCAAGATTCTGAGAAGATCCCAGTGAATCAGGTTCAGGTATGTTCCAAACTGAACGCGAAAATGCTTCCACGAGAGTAGGGGTTCGACAATCTTTTAAGGAAAGCAACGCCAGAGCAAGCAGGATTCAACTGGACGTAAGAAAATCCACAATTATCGTTGAGCAAACCCTTTGACGCGGGTACTCGTCAATCTGGTGAGCTAGTGGACCTAGAGCAAACGTCTTGGGGTCAATCAAAGGAGCCGGACACGAGCGACGGCTGCAAGGCAGGAAATAACAACCGTTGTCGCGGTGTTGCCGTGTGCATGTGGCGTATAAGAGACGGGAAGCTGTCTTTGGGTGCCTCGGCGCGTCTGCAAAACTGCGGGTTTGCAGCAAACATAGCCGCTGCCGGAAATCTCACAGCCGTGTGTGGCCATGGAGGGGTTCCAAGGTTACTGGGGCTGATGTCACAGTGCCCGGGAAGTGGGGCGCTTAGCTCGCGACCAGCCGTAGAATGCGATTGCCCGAAAGTCGAGGCTGAGTGGGCTTTCTCTGATTGCTGGATGGTGGACGCTGGCTGACGCACGTCAAACCGAGGCTGAATGACGCTCACGAAGACCGACGTGATAGGCAGATCCTTCGCAGCCTCGATCGGTCATCTCTTTTCTACAATTTGCACTTGCACGGGCTGTTCAGTGCCACTTGCGCTATATTTGTAAAGGAAGATGTCCTTCAACAATATGAGCCGACGCTCGCGACACACGGCTGTTACGCTCAGGCTTAATAGCTGGGAACGAGAGTGGAACCATGGACGGACCCAACGATCCGAGTACTCGAGCCCGAGGCTCGATTGCTAACCCTATCAAATAATCTGTCGAAAGCATCCGGAAAAGTCAGTGGAAATCGTTAAGTAGCTACGATATGTACCCAGCTGGGTGTTTGGAAAGAGCTGTGCTTTGGGCGCATTGGTTTGCGTACTACGATTTACGAGCAAGCAACAGCCTGGACCGACCATACAGTCGAAAACAGCTGCAAAGGAGACGAAGTTCGATCTCGACAGAACAGCACGGGTTATGTAAAGCTCGCACAGTGGTAGCAAATCACTCGCTTGCTCGCTTGAGTCTACTGAAGCGTGAATCGACATCAAAGACATGTGTAACGGTTGAAAGGAGAAGCAGATCACGTGTTGTTGGCGGTGGTCTGGTGCTACTTCCTCGTGTTGTTGAGCACCTCTTACCTCAGCTGCATCACAAAGACGTCATCAAAACAGACCCCGCAGCGAGCCTTGGAGAGCAAAGACACAAGCAACACAACAACATAGAATAACGTACTCCACAAGCGAGCTGGCCACTCAAGCGAGCTGGCCACCTTTGCCAAGACCACACCAATACTGCACCTACTTTGCAACATTACAGCACATAACGTAACGTACCCCACGGGCGAGTCGGACACACGGGCGAGTCGGACACTTTTGCCAAGACCCTACCAAAACACCCTTACTACACCAATGCCTCTCCACAAACGCCAGTCAGACGCGTTAAAAGAAGCTTAGATACAGCTTGCGCTTCAAGCTCTTAAACAAGACGCGACTCTCTCTCTACGGCGCGCTGCAGCTATCTATAGAGCTCCCCTACAGACACTAAGCGACCAACGCGCTGGACGACCTTTACAAGTTGATTCTATGCCTAAATCACGGAGCCTAACCAATACTAAGGAGCAGGTGATTGTTAATTATATACTTGAGCTAGACGCGTGAGGATTTTCCCCTTAGCTAGCAGCTGTGGCTGATATGGCCAATTCTTTGCGCGCTGAGCGCAGTCTAGGCCATGTTAGCCTAAACTAGCCCAGTACGTTTGTTAAGCGCCAACTAGAGCTTAAAGTGAAGTTTAATTGCAAGTATGACTACAAGAGAGCCCTCTGCAAGGATCCTAAGATAATCTAGGGCTAGTTTAGCCTAGTAGCTAATATTAAAGCTAAGTATAGCATCTAGGATAACAACACATACAACTTTAATAAGATAGGCTTTATAATAGGCTAGATATCTACTAGAGTAGTTGTTATAGCTTTAGAGAGACAGGGACAGCTAAAGTAGGTCTAGCTAGGCAATTAGGAGTAGATAATAGTTATTAAGGGTATTAATGCTAAAGGGTAGGCTATTCTACCCTTTATTATCTTCTAGGGCTATAACTACCTCTTAAACTAGTATAAAGAGGATAATCTACCCTATAATTAGGTTATTAGGGTCTCTAAGAACAGCTAGACTACTAATAAACTTAGTCTTAACTAGTTAAAGCACTTTAACATGCATATAAAGGAGTGTACTATTAGCAGCTACTATCTACTAGTTATTAATAGTTATAAGAGCTACAACTTACTAGATTTCTAGGAATACTACAAGGATAATAAGATTATTACTGTATATATGCCTCTGCACTTATTGCATCTCCTGTAGCTACTTAATGTAGGCTGTTTTACCCCTCTAAAGAAGGCGTATAGGCACTAAGCTAAAGACCTTATATATAACTAGATTAACTATATTATAAAGCTTAAGTTCCTGCTATACTTTAAAGTAGCCTATAATGCTGTATTTACCTTAAGCAATATCTAAGGAGGGTTCTAAGGCGCTAGACTAGTCCCCTTTAACCTAGAATAGGTTATAATAGGGCTTAATATAAAGCTGCGCACTCTATTACTATAACTCCCTAATAATAATAAGCCCTAGTAGTTGCAAACCCCTAGTAATACCCTAGAACTTTAGTTGCAATTAACTCTAATTTAAGAGAAGTATAAGAAGCAGCAGGGTAGCTTACCTAATTCTATGCTGAGCGCGCTTGAGCACTACGCAAAGGGGAGAGCAATTCTATCGCACAAGCTAGTTTTGGCGCAATAGGAGAACGCTGAGCTTCACGCAGCTCTAGCAGCTGCTATAGAACGTAAATCGCGCAAAAGAAAGCAAATCTAGAAGGAAGGGACCCTTATAGTTAAGGAAGGGCAGTAGATAGCAGCTCTAAAGGAGTTTAGGGCATGTGGTGATAGAAAGAAGTTAAAGAAGCGGGTGCGCGCTAAAGTAGGTAAGCCCTCCTAACAACACTGTAGACAGTGCAATTAGACTAGGCATAACGCGCGAACATGCAAGAATAATACAGAAGTAGTCTCTAAATAATATTCTAAGCTGTACTGCACCTTGCAGCACTAAAGTGTGGTGTTTTGGGCCATAATAGGGTGAGGTTTAGTAGGGTCTTGGCAAAAGTGTCCGACTCGCCCGTGTGTCCGACTCGCCCGTGGGGTACGTTAGATTATCACCGAGCCGGCCATATCACCAAACCAGCCATTTTCTCTTAGCACAACTAACACAAGTTACTGCAACTACAACTACTTACTATTAAATAGTGACCTAGCATAACGTAAACCCCCAGCACCCGGGCCAACCCAGCACCCGGGCCATTTCTTGCCAAGACCACAACTATTAATATTAACACGTAATGCCTTGCTAACAAGATACGCAATTATCTAAACAAGAGGGTAGAATTAATCTTGCCCTTTCTGCTTTCTAATTACATGAATTTAAAAGCCTCTAAAGCGCTGCTTAGGCATTTAATATACTGTGTACAACCTTAAGTGCTAGGTATAGAGGCAGACTCTATATTAATAATAGACGCAACGCACAATATAAGCTTACACGCACTAAAGAGTAAATAATTGTATAATATATTCTTGACCTTAATTCGCGAGGATTCGCGCCCTGGCTGTGTGAGGTGGCAGATATGGCTGACAAACTGTTGGGTGTACGCGGTGGGCAGCCTGTTGGCAAGCACTGGGCTGAGCGCTTCGTGACGCGTTCAGCTACGCTTAAGATAGCCTTTAATTGAGCTAAAGATAGGCAGAGGATGCTGTAGGAGGATCTAGAGACAATCAGCGCGTAGTTTAAGCTAGTAGAGGACACAAAAGCTAAATACAGCGTACACAACCACAACGTGCACAACTTTAACAAGACTAGCTTCTAGATAGGTGTTATTAGCTTAATAAAGGTTGTTACAGGCGCAGAGAGACATAATCAACCTCAGCTTGTTTAGCTAGGTGATCGCGAGTGGGTAACAGTCATCTAGAGCGTCTGCGCTGCTAGATCTTGTACCCTGCCTTTCATTATCTACAAAGGACGCGTTCACATCTCTGCCTGGTACGAGGAGGCAGATATACCACGCAATTGGAAGCTCTCCGTCTCTGAGAGCGGCTGGACGAACAACGCGCTCGGCCTTGAGTGGCTGAAGCACTTCGACGCGCATACAAAGGCGAGCCAGGTAGGGGCGTACAGGCTGCTCATTTTAGACGGCCATAAGAGCCACCTTAACCAGGATTTTAAGGACTACTGCCTTAAAAACATAATCCTTACCCTCTGCATGCCACCTTACTTATTGCATATCCTCTAGCTGCTTAATATAGTCTACTTCTTGCTGTTAAAGCACAAGTACTCTTAGTGTGTACAAGACTTAGCACGTAAGCGCGTCTTCTACATTAATAAAGAAGGCTTCCTCCCTGCCTTTAAGGACACGTTTTTTAATATGTTTATAGCAGAGAACTGTTGCAAGGCCTTTAAGGCAGTAGGGCTAGTCCCTCTTAACGCGCAGGTTGTGTTAGATTACCTTAAAGTGCGCCTGCGTACCCCACTAGAACCCCTCCTCCTAGAGACGCTGTGGCAGTCAAAGACTCTAAGCAATACCTACAAGTTTAGATCTTAGTTAAAGCTTGTACACAAGTCTTTTACTTAGTTGCCTATTACTGTGTAAGCAGGCTTCTCTTAGCTTGTTAGAGGCAGTAAGCTTATGCTGCATCAGAACGCGCTTTAAGCAGCCTAGATTACTAAGCTTAAAGAGCAATTAGCAGTAATAACT